GGGATGACAGGGTTCATGGGTACGTGGAACCATTTTGGGTAATTGTTGAGGACAATGATGGCGAATATATCTTGCACCATGAGTATTTCATGCTAAAGAAGCAGTATATTGATGAGGATCACACATTGAATTTCACTGTGCCAATCTATGAGCCGTTGCCCCCTCAATATTTCATCCGTGTCGTATCTGATAGGTGGCTTGGATCGCAGACTGTTCTTCCTGTCTCTTTCAGACACCTAATTTTACCGGAGAAATACCCCCCTCCAACTGAGCTCTTGGATTTGCAGCCTCTTCCTGTGTCGGCTTTGAGAAATCCTTCCTATGAGGCTCTCTATCAGGGTTTTAAGCATTTTAATCCGGTCCAGACACAGGTCTTCACTGTCTTGTATAACACAGATGACAATGTCCTGGTTGCTGCCCCGACTGGGAGTGGGAAGACGATATGCGCAGAGTTTGCAGTGTTGAGGAATTACCAGAAAGGACCTGATAGCATCATGCGAGCCGTCTATATAGCCCCTCTTGAAGCAATTGCTAAGGAGCGATATCGTGATTGGGAGAGGAAGTTTGGTAAAGGCCTTGGCTTGAGGGTTGTGGAACTAACTGGGGAAACAACTACTGATTTGAAACTCATCGAGAAGGGTCAAATAATTATCAGTACTCCAGAGAAATGGGATGCACTGTCCCGTCGGTGGAAGCAAAGAAAGAATATTCAGCAAGTGAGTCTTTTTATAATTGATGAGCTTCACTTGATTGGAGGCCAGGGTGGTCCAGTGCTAGAGGTGATTGTCTCCAGGATGAGGTACATTGCAAGTCAGATCGAGAACAAGACAAGGATTGTGGCCCTTTCATCTTCTCTTGCTAATGCTAAAGATCTGGGGGAGTGGATAGGAGCTACCTCGCATGGTCTCTTCAATTTCCCACCTGGTGTCCGTCCTGTTCCCCTAGAGATACACATACAAGGGGTGGATATTGCCAATTTCGAGGCAAGGATGCAAGCCATGACGAAGCCAACTTACACAGCAATAGTTCAGCATGCAAAGAATGGGAAGCCTGCCATTGTCTATGTGCCCACGAGAAAGTATGTGAAGGCCACAGCTGAGGACTTGATGTCGTACTCTGCAGTTGACGGCGGTGAAAATCCTGCCTTTTTGTTGCGACCCTCCATAGAGCTAGAGCCTTTTATAACTAAAATTCAGGATGAGACTCTGCGGGTCACTCTAACCTTTGGGGTCGGTTTCTTACACGAGGGGTTGACTGATTTGGATCAGGAGGTTGTCACGCAATTGTTTGAAGCAGGTTGGATTCAGGTTTGTGTAGTGAGCAGCTCGATGTCTTGGGGAGTGTCTCTGTTGGCGCACTTGGTAGTTGTGATGGGAACTCAGTATTATGATGGGAGAGAAAATGCTCACACGGACTACCCGGTTGCTGATCTGTTGCAGATGATGGGCCACGCTAGTCGACCGTTGCTCGATAACTCCGGGAAGTGTGTAATCCTCTGCCATGCACCTCGTAAAGAATACTACAAGAAGTTTCTCTACGAAGCCTTCCCTGTTGAGAGTCACCTGCACCATTTCCTGCATGATAATTTTAATGCTGAAATAGTCGCTGGAGTTATCGAGAACAAGCAGGATGCAGTTGATTATCTCACCTGGACATTCATGTACAGGAGGTTGACTCAGAATCCAAACTACTACAATCTGCAAGGCGTGAGTCATAGGCATCTCTCTGATCATCTGTCAGAGTTAGTTGAGAACACGTTGAGCAACTTGGAAGCAAGCAAGTGCATTGCAATTGAGGATGACATGGATCTTTCTCCCCTCAATCTTGGCATGATAGCGTCTTACTATTACATCAGCTACACAACCATCGAACGCTTCAGCTCGTCTTTGACTCCCAAGACAAAGATGAAAGGTCTCCTCGAGATTCTGGCTTCTGCCTCGGAGTATGCACAGCTTCCAGTACGACCAGGGGAGGATGAGAAGCTCCGAAGGCTGATGAATCACCAGAGATTCTCGTTTGAGAATCCCAGGTACAGTGATCCTCATGCAAAAACCAACATTCTGCTTCAAGCTCATTTCTCGAGGCAGACAGTGGGAAAGAATCTAGCACTCGACCAGCGGGAGATTCTCCTTTCTGCCAGTAGGTTGCTCCAGGCAATGGTTGATGTCATCTCAAGCAACGGATGGTTGAACCTTGCACTTCTTGCAATGGAAGTTAGCCAGATGGTGACACAAGGGATGTGGGAACGGGATTCCGTGCTGCTGCAGCTTCCCCACTTCACGCGGGAATTGGCCAGGAAGTGCATGGAGAACCCTGGGAAGAACATAGAGACTCTGTTTGATTTGGTGGAGATGGAGGATGATGAGAGGCGGGATCTGCTGCAGATGTCTGATCCCGAGCTGCTGGACATTGCCAAGTTCTGCAATCGGTATCCGAACATCGATATGACGTATGAGGTTCAAGGCGGGGAGAATGTGAGGGCTGGAGATGATGTGACCCTACAGGTCGTGCTGGAGAGGGATCTGGAAGGAAGGACAGAGGTAGGTGCGGTGGATGCCCCAAGGTACCCTAAGTCCAAGGAGGAAGGGTGGTGGCTGGTGGTCGGGGACACCAAGACGAATCAGCTGCTGGCAATTAAGAGGGTATCTCTGCAGAGGAGACTGAAAGTTAAGCTTGATTTTGCGGCTCCTGCTGAAGTAGGAAGGAAGAGTTACACGCTCTACTTCATGTGCGACTCTTATCTGGGTTGCGACCAAGAGTATAGCTTCACGGTGGATGTTGAAGGAGCAATGGAAGATGGCGAAAGAGACTGAATGGCTGCCATTTTTGTGTGGCGGCGTGTTAGAGAAATGTTACGCTAGTTTGGATTTGAGTGAGAACATTTTGCATTCGTAGCTTAAAACAAGAAAGACCTGAGCATTGGTTTCTTTATCGTGATGTGTAATTTACGCTATGTAACCTAACTAAACATCTGGGCGAATTGACAGATGCCCTTGAATGTATGCTCTGCTTTATTTTGTTTTGGTTGGATGCCGCTGCAAAAGCGTTCTTCTCCTTATAGCGTCTCTCTTATTTTAAGTCCACATAATTGGCCGCAACGGTAGAGGCTCTACCTACCGCCATTTTCTGCTTGCAATCAACAAGCAGTAGCTATGGATTCCGATTTCTGCATTCCCAGAGAACTACCCCCTTTTCAGCAACTCCGATTTCAGTATCAGCCGGAGCTCCCTCCCTACCTTCAGGTTCCTTCCTCCTCTACTCCATTTGTCAGTACCACTCGCACGCGCAGTCAGTCCTCTGCAATCTCCCTGTTTCATCGCAATTTAATTCCTTACTGTCTGCCTTCTTCTTCCTTCTTTACAATCCATGTTAGCTCAGATCATCCATGTTAGCTCAGATCAGCCTTTCCTGAGGATAGATCTGCTTAGTGTAACGAAAGCCGGAGATGGAGGAAGGGTTAGGTGGAGTTGGCACAAGTAAAACGATTACGACTTCTTATTGCATTCGGACCAGAGAAGACTGTTTGTTTTCAGGTCTTTTTCTTAATTGTTTTTGGGGTCATGGCTTGTCACAGGGAAGGGAACCACTGTGAGGGTGTAATTTGGCGATGGTACCACAGCAGCTGATCCAGCCTTTAGCCCACTTCCTGAGGGCAACTGCTAAAGTTCCTGATGCTCATATCATCACTGAACATCCACCTTACAAGTAATATTTCTGTCTTACCTCTATCATATGGGCAACTATGGTTCTGTTTCATTCAATGCAATCGTCACGTGTTGAAGCTCCGCGTCTTCTAGCCCTACAGGGTTGGACTAGTCCTTTGTGGAAGGCAGTCGCCAGATGGACATAATGTCATATGGGGTCTTCACAATGCTCTCAAGACTCATTATCCTAACAGTGTATTGCCTGGATTTCTGGGTAAATCATTCTTGTTCATTTCTTTGATTTCTGGTTGAGGTTTTGGAGACTAGTACAGTTCAGAATCAGTCAGTCAGTCAGTCAACCAAAAGCTAAGCATGATGTAACTGCTCTTGATGGCTTACCAAAAAAAATTGTTGGATGATGGTTGGTAATATTTTTTTTGCCAACATCACTGTTTGTAAATTAATGATTCCGTGAACGAAACAAAAGTCTTCAGTTGAAGGAGTAATCTTAGATACACTGCAATTGATGTGCTTCCTATGACAATATTCTATTGACAGGTTGATCCGAGGGATTGTTTGCAGCCTTGCACAGAAAACTCTTGAAATCGCTGACAACATTCTCTCTACGTACAAAAATCAAGGTACCTAATAGAATCATGTAACGGTCATGTTGACATTGTCTATTCTCGGAAACCTATCCAGTTTGAGTAAGTTGTTCTATGATGGCACTCTGCAAAGTGGGTATGATTTGCTTGGAAGGACCAAAGATCAGATACGAACAAATGAACAAGTTAATGCAGCGTTGGCTGCCTGCACAGATCTTAAGTTGGATGCCCTTGCTATCATTGGAGGTAGGGTTAGTCCCAAAGGTTGCGTCAACAAAACATGATGAACTTTGAAGTATTAGTAACCATTCCTGCTACGCATATCCAAAGGGGTTAAATCAAATACGGATGCTGCTCAACTTGCTGAGACGTTTGCAGCTGCAGGGTGTCCAACCAAGGTACATTTGTATGCATTTTAAAGCTGAATTGAGATGCTAGCTGTTCTGTCCTTTAGATGCTTTGTTTAAGATTTTCCAGTTCTCTCATTACTTCAATAATTGATTCTTTTGCACTTTGCAGGTGGTTAGTGTCCGTGTTACTTTGAATGGAGATCTCAAGAATCAATTTGTGGAAACTAATGTTGGGTTTGATACAATCTGCTAAGTTTGGTTACTATAATGCTTCATATTGTACTTTTTTGAAAACTACTCTTCATGTTATGCTAAACAGTGAAACTCCGGTTCTCAAACATTGAATGTGCAGTCTCATTTATTTTCATTCTGCAGGTTAATTCCCAGCTCATCAGCAATATGTGTACTGATGCTCTTTCTGCTGAGAAGGTATACCAGTATTTTTCTTATTCACGGCTCTGATGGTAATTGATAAATGAATTCTCTCATATTGCCTTTACTCCCAGTCTTTGCAAAGATTTTAACCTGTTGTCTCTTCTGCAGTACTATTATTTTATTCGGCTAATGGGTCGTAAAGCTTCTCATGTTGCCTTGGAGTGCACTCTTCAATCTCATCCCAATATGGTTAGGATTCATTGATTCACTAGTTTCTTAGTTTCATGTATTTTTATATGATATCTTTTGTAGTGCAGTGTCATTCTTGCCTGTTCATATTACTTTCCTGTTTCAGGTCATTCTTGGTGAAGAGGTAGCAGCATCAGAACTTACTCTATTTGACATCACTAAGCAGATTTGTGATGCAGTCCAAGCCAGAGCAGAACAAGATTTTGAACAATTTTAATTGCACCAGATAATAACCACAGAGTTATTCTGCTACCAGAGGGTCTAATTGGAAGTATTCCTGAGGTGTATGCACTACTGAAGGTTTCTTGAATTGGTTCATGGTTTCACATCTTACACTCATAAGCACAATTATTTCTAAAGAAAGATGAGTAGTCACACTCACATATGCTACCATATTCTTGCGGCAGGTTTAAATGGTTACATGGCAACTCTTACTAACTTCAAGAACCCTGTGAATAAATGGCGTTGCGCTGCTGCCCCAATCACAGTATTTCTACTTCCATCTATTTACTTTCTAATTTCTATTTGATAATGTTGTAGATGGCAGCACCTTAAGATCTATCTTTACTTGGTATATTGCACTGACTTCCGTGATCTGTGAATTTTAGGCAATGTTGACTGTGAATTGATGGGCACAAAGTCCCGGAGCATCTTCAAGTCGAAAACCTGCTATTCACCCAGCTACTGTTTACTTGAATGGCAAAGCATATGGGTGAGTGTTTCCAACTTCCTCTTTTAATCCCCCCTTGTTTTCTGTATTGAGTTAAAACATGGAAATAAGGATTACAACGTGGCTTCTACATGGTTGTTGGTTGCTGAGACAAAATGCAGTGAGATTCTTGTTGGATGATCTGTACAGAAACCCGGGGCCGCTTCAGTTTGACGGTCCAGGGGCAGATGCCAAAGCTGTGACTTCGTGCGTTGAAGACCAAGATTACATGGGCAGAATGCAGGAATACTTGGACAAGGTGAGTTGTTGTGTTATTAGATCACACTTCGCTCTCAGTTTCTTTTCTTTCATTTTGTTTCCTAGTGCTCATTTGTATAAAGTCATGGTGGAAGCTTTAATCAACAGGTCATCGCTAAACCTGGTAATGAATGCTACTGAGTTAGAATAGATCGCACCTTCTGCCACATTAGTTAATAATGATTAGCTAATGGAGTAGGATTCTCTGTGGATTATGTACTTTAGAGGATTTAGAAGTTGAAATTTTGTTTGTATGTACGTTTCCAGGTTCGTACCATAGTGAAACCAGGTTGTTCGCCTGAAGTTCTCAAGGCTGCTTTGAGTGTAATGGCTCCAGTGACAGAGGTTCTTACCACCATGTCATCAACTCCATCCAAATGGCCTCATCTCCCTGTAGAGAGACTGACTGTCCTTTCTTGCATATTTGGGATGGAGTTTTCGAACAGAGTGACAGAAGAACACTTGCCTTTTTTTCCTTGTCATTTCCTTTTTTGAGAGGCAGAAACTTAGTTTATTACTATATCATTATGGTAGATGATTATGGATTGGGGATGAGGTTTAACTTTTAACTAACTGTTTTGGTTTTGTGGTTGGTAATAAAGGCTGTCATTTGCTGGGAAATTTTAGGATGCCTCAACGGGAAGAATGAGATGCGAGACGTATCAATTCGAACAATGCTTGTATTCTACTTCACTCATGTATATGAATCGATATAAAGGTCGTCTATACAACAATACAACATAAGAATGATTGAAGAATTGAAGCAATGGGAATCTAATATCTATCACCCTCGTACTGCATTCCTCAAAGGCTCTGCTTTCTGCCTCTGTTCCTACTCATAAAATGGAGGGTGTAAAAAAATTTGGTATGGTGCAGTAACAAATATACCATCCTTTTTGTTGTTCTCTTCTTGGCTACATTACTACTACTATCATCATCACCAAGATAAGATGTTCAAGAAGAGGTGACGAGCCACATGAAGCAAGTGGACCAAAGGGTGAGGGAGACGGAAGCCAAGGCGTAAGTCCAGAGCATGATGACGGAACACTCGGACTCCCCTGCTCCAAACAACTGAGTGATGATGCCGATGTTCATCGCAGGCGGGACGGTGAACTGCAGGAGGAGAATGAACTGATAGAGTGGGTCGTTTGCCGGGATGAACCCTAACCGCAGCGCCCCTTTCACCACCACGATCCCCACCAGAGGAAGGGCCACGTATCTGGCCAGCACCACCCCTATTATCACCGTCTTCTTCACGCTCGACCCTTTCAGCCCTACATGATTGATCACCAAACAAGCACAAGAAGAATTTTCTAATTAGTTAAGTTACTCTTTTATGATGTTTTTATGATGATGATGATGATGATGACTAGTACCTCTGAGTAGATTAGCTCCGACAAGCAGGGTCAGAGTCGGGATGGCTGCCTGTCTGCATAAACCCAAACCCAAAATTGCATTAATAAAATACTGTACTATACGATGATCAAAGTTGTTTGTTTATTTTGAACTTATGATTACATAATCTAATAGGCGCGTGGGGGCTTGTGGCCTTACCCTAAGAGGACAGCGGAATCTTGAATAACACGAAGAGGTGCTTCGTCTCCCACCAGCACATTCTTTATTGGTGGAGTCAGCCCGATCGCAAATCCTATAATCTGCACATAGAAAAATAATGTATTACAAACCAAAGAATGAGAAGACTATAGGACTTGTTAATGGTGCATGTTTAATAAAGTAGTTAGCGTGAGTGTTACTTACCACACCAATGGTGGAAGGTGCAAATATGGTCTTCCAGTTGACATTTCCCAGCGTTTTGGTCAGCCCTTGCTTTACCTTCTGAGGGAAGCTGCTGATCTCCCCACCTGCTGCATTCAACTGTACAGAAAACAAGAGTTAATTATCAATCACGCGTACGTACAAGCAAATCGCAGGCCGTCTGCTTGGTTTAATTAGGCACAAATTAAGCTTGTTTACCTTATTATGGTTCGAAGTAGGTGATGCAGGTAGAAGAAGAGGGTGTTCAAGGGAGTTTTCAACAGTTCCAGTCGTAGTAGTATTGATGATGCTGACTGGAAGCTTCTCTAGGTCATCGCCGCCTTCTCCTCCTGCTGTGTCTACTGTGGTCGATGCCCTCATAATACTGTAAACATAGGTCCATAGATACACTGCTCCCAACTGCAACAAATTATATTAATTTTTGAAGTAACATCAATCTCGGTTCATCAGCATCATGATATATGTAATGTAAGCAGACATGTTTGTTTCTAAACGTACGGCCATGGAGACGGAGACATATGCCAAGCCGTAGGACTGGCAGACTTCAGGGGAGCCGAAGGGGCTGCCTTTCTCCTTACAGATGGCGGGTATCATGACCATAAACATGTTGCCCAAGTTGCCTGCGGCGGTGCAGCCGATGATGAGTCCCCTCAGCTCCTTGGGCGGCCTGGTGAGCTGTATGACCATCCAGCCCAGGACCGAACCCACCACGAAGGTGATGAGGACGTTGACCGGCATGAACCAGAGCTTCACCATCTGCTGGAAGGTTATGGTCTGGGAGAGGCTTCCCACCATGAGTGCCGGGTTGAACACATAGAACACCACCTGCATCCATGTACATTTATGGTAAGTTAGTACGCGGGCGGGCGCGCACACATTTATACAGTGGCTGAGCCAGAAATCTGAACGACGATGAAGGTAGAGTGATTGGTACGAGTTAGTTACGTTGTTGACGTGTTTTCTGGCATCGGCCCCCAGGACATCGACGCGGTCAAGGGCGAGGAAGGTGCCGAGTGCAGTGATGACGAGAACCTTGATGACCGGAATGGTCGACGCCACGAAAAGATCTAATACCCCCATCTATCTCTGCACAAGGAAAATAGGAAGATGTTCAAAATTTGAAGTAATTAATTAGTCGCCATGACACGAGCAGCAGAACAAGTGGGAACATAATAAGTAGGAGCAAACAGGGGATTTGGTTTGATTAGTGAGTTAAATCTGTGGTGAATACGTAGTTAGGTAGCTGGAGCATTCAAGTAAGAAATTTCTTGTGCATCATATCTACAATCTATATCTACCCTACCCTTTGTAGTTCTTGAATCGGGTATGTAATTCTAATGTATGTTTGTTTGTAGAATCGGTTGCGTTGGATGGTTTTGGGGTTCAACTGGGTGTCGACCTTGATTTTGCAATCCTGACGTCGTTGCATCATCGGTGTCTTATTATATGATTCTTTTGTACTTATGTATATATAATATTAATTAAATAAAGAACAGAAAACAAAACAGAATGTATGGACAAGCAAAAGAACAAGAACAGCAGCAGCAGGGGAAACCAAAAGAAACGGAGAAAAAGCACAAAATACCTTTTCTATCAGACCCAAAAGAAAAACAGAAAAGCATGCAGAAGAAGAAGAAGAAATATGGAGGATGAGATGAGTTACCCGGCCGATCGATATGGAGCGAGCGAAGAAAGGATATATATAATATAAATGGAGCGGGATAGCTAGCTAGCAAGCGGGAGCAACGGGGCCACTCGCAGAATTATAATGTCGGCGCCGGCCGGCCGGCCGGGGTATTGAAATTCTGTTTGATTCGACGGCGTACGTACGTCCTAATGAATTCACCGGAGGACGATGCTAATGACTTTTCTTCCCTGGGTTGATCGAGGTCAAGAGAAAATATGAAATGGCTGATACAGATTCTAGGAAGATGTGTATGTAGCGTAGAGAGAGAGAGAGAGAGAGAGAGAGAGAGAGAGAGAGAGGAAATGAAGCCGCGTCCACAGAGAGAGAGAGAGATGCGATGAAAGGAAAGGGGGCCGAAAATGGGGGCGAGGTGAGGTGTATGTGTTGGGCGTTTCTGTATTTATTAAGTTTTGGGGGTTGGGTTTGGGTTTGGTTTTTGATTCGGTGCGGCGAGAGATGAAAATGAAAGAATGAATGAATGAATTAGCTGCCGGATGGATTGATTCTGTGACCGATCTGACTCCGGCGCTGCTGACCAGAATTCGGCGGCGGAACAGAGAGAATTGATTAATGGCCGGCCGAAAGAAAGAAAGGAAAAGCTGGTGGCGGTAGTGGTGCAGATAAGAAGAAGGAAGGAAGGGAATTGTTGTGGGGATTTATATATTGTGTTGTGTGCAGCAACCTGGATCCCCACCGCAAGTTGGCGCAGCCAATCTTGGGTTTTGGTAGCTACCCGCAGCCGCCCCCACAAGACTACAAAAAAAAAAAAAAAAAGTCCCTCCGACTTCTTTACTCCTGGTTTCCTATAATAAAGAACATCAAAATGGAATCTTCAACACTAAAATTGTAAGCCTCAAGAGAGGGAGAGAAGACGAGGACGGCGGAAGAACAACAAGAATAATAAGAAGCAAGGAGAAGAAAACTCGTATTTGGCGACTGCACTGCACTTGTCTTGCTTACGCCTCCAAAACCAAAACCAAACCGTCTTTCTTCTCTCTCTATCTATTCCGCGTCTTGGGAGCGCGCTGACTGCCTTGCCTTGCTGGCTGGAATTTGTTTTGGTTTACCCTTTTTTTCCTTTTCTAAAATTTATCCCAACCCTTAATTCCTGAGGCTAAGGAATGAGCTTCCCTAGTTACTTCAATTCCCGTTTTTCCTTCCTGTTTCTTTCTTTGGATTTCTTTACCATTTCTCGCCCTTTGGTCTCACTGATTAACTCCACCTCTTACCTGATTGGCTCTCGTGGGCCCAAGCACTCCACGTAGAAAAAAAGCCCACACCACTCATTTAATTTCTTATTACCATTACGATTAGTTAATTTGGGCGGTGTCCTTTACCGCCACCTCACCATTCGATTAATTATATAATCCCCTCAAACAGTAATATTAATATACCACGACGGTAAATAATCCGGGACCGGCGGTAATAAAGGACGGACCACCACCGAGACCAGAAAAGAAAACAACATGTAAATAACATGGGCCTCTTTTTCTGGTCACCACTTTTTGCTTGACCTTCCGTCCATCGGTTTAGAATAAATGGGCCGACAAGCCGAACAATGGACCACGTGACACATAACCATGGTTGTCACGCCGGCCGGCGTGCCACCGGTTGTACCGGGTTCAACCGGTACCGGTCATAAAACTGGCGTGACACCACCGGTATGACCGGCATGATCGATATACGAATCTCTAAGTAAAATGACCTTATTTTAGAGAATTTAATTGATAAAAATTATTTTATTATTTATTTTATGAGTATAAAAGTTACATATTGATGTTATTTGTTGGATTCAAGTATAAATGTTTAGGTATTGGCGTTAAATGTCATGTTTAAATATGAGTATTTATAATTTTATTTGTAATATTGACCGGCATGAACCGGCACAAACCGGTATGTGCCACCGGTTGAACCATTCCACTTGCTAAACCGGCACACTGGCATAAACCGGTTTGACAACTTTGCACATAACATACAATCAAGTGAATCAACCTCTCTATATATATGAGCCAAGATAAGGTGACTAGGTGTCACTTAGTCATGTGACTAAGTGAATCTCAACACCTACACCTCATTAAAATCTAATGACTCAAATTAATCTAAATTAATGAATGATAATATAATAATTGCAAGATTATTTTATTTTATTTACCAATTAAAATAAAAAAAATACAGCCTGCTACTGACTACCGTCGCGGGCACCAGCTCCCTTCTCCGACCCGGCGGCATGGCCTTTTCCCCAGTCCCGCCGGCGGTCCTTTTCTCCAACGCCGACGATGTGGGAAATATTCTTTGGCAAAGTCCGGCGTGGGCATGTTCCTAGGGGGAGGGGTGGCCATTAATTCCATTTTCCCTCCAAAGCTCTTGTAAGAGAGAGAGATCGTCTCCGTCCAATTTCCGGCCAGGGGAATTCCTGGGCAGGAGAATTCTTCTCCCCTCATGCGCCATTATTCCAGGGGAATTCCCAAGAGAGAGAGAGCTGATGGGAATTATTTGTTGGCGCGCGGAGAGAGTTTTTTGGTGACCAGAGGAAATTTCCCGGCGACAGTGTTGGATTTGTGATGTTTGCTTACCTATTTTGCAATGTTTGTATATATTCGGTTTGTATTGTTTGTCATTTTTAGTGACATTTTGTACGGTTAGTATGCTTTGTACTGTTTGTCGGTTTATTTTGTAATGTTTGTACGCTTTGTTATTTTGTAATGTTTGTCGGTTTTTTTTTTTTTGTAATGTTTGTAAACTTTGTTATTTTTTGCACCATGTTTGTAATGTTTTTTATGTCTAAAAAACAACCTGGTTGACTTTTGGATGGAACTAGGGATGGCAAATTAGAAATTACCCACCCATTGGTAATTATACCCAAATCCAAGTAGACCCATTGAAAATGGGTTGGCTATGGATGAAGTTGGGGGTGGCAGTCGGTCGGTTTCGGTTTAACCGAAAACTGAAAACCCGATTATCGGTTAAACCGAGCCACCTCTTGTAGATGCCGACCACCGACCGAAGAGAGGTCACGGTTAGCCGGCCAACCGACCGGTCGAATCCGGTTTTAGGCTCGAATAGCCGGCCAACCGGAAAATACATTTTCAAGAAGAAAAAAACTAAAAATTAATTAAATAAAACAAAAAAAATATCCACCACACCTTCCTTATCTCTTCCTCTCTCCTTCCTTATCCATCCGCCAGCATCGTCAAGAAAAAAAAAACTAAAAATTAATTAAAGAAAACAAAAAAAATATCCACCAAACCTTCCTTATCCTTCCTCTCTCCTTCCTTATCCATCCGCCAGCATCGGTCTCCTTCTTCTTCTCTCACCTTTCTCCATGGAAACAGATCTGGAGCCTGGAGGGGTCGCGGCGACGGGAGGCAAGGCGCGGCGACAGGCGGCGAGGCGCGGCGAGAAGGGGGAAGGGCTGGACTCGAGGATCGGCGATGCCGGCGAAGGGGGGTGATCCCGGCGGCGGCGATGCCGAAGGCGCGGCTGCCGCTGCGGCGGATGGAGGAGAGCTCGAGCTCGAGGCCGACGAGGAAGAGGAAGAAGAGGAGGCCGATGCTGGCGGCGGACTCGAGGATCGGGGCGCTCCACTTGGGGAAGACCCGGTGCATGTAGTGGTGGTTCCGGCCGAACGCCGACGGCCCGAGGAGGATCCCGCCGACGATCTCGGCGATGACCTTGGGCTGGCAGAGGGGCTTGAGGAGGAAGGCGAGGGAGCGGCTGACGGCGAGGATCAAGATGGTCTGGAGGATGAGGAGCGGGAAGGCGAAATCGAGGGGATTGTCGCCTTGCCATGCTCCGTTGGAGGAGGTTTTGATGGAGGCGGCGACGATGTGGAGATGGCAGCGGAGGTAAGGGAAGGATTGGAGGGTTGGTCGATGGTGAGAAGGGGGAAGGGTTGGTCGGTGGTGAGAAGGGGGATTTGGGGGAGGAGGCTGTGACTCGATTTGGGGGCGGAGGTTGTCGACTGATTTGGGGGCGTGGGCGGCGTCGTTTAAGGGGGAAGGGCAGGGGTCGGTTAGCCGGTTAACCGCCGGTTTCCGACCCCGGTTAGTCGGCTAGCCGGCCCCCTGATAATTCCCAACGCCAACCGACCGCCCTCTTCGGCATCGGTTTTTCGGCTAGCCGAAAACTGGTCGGTTCGGTTGAAACCGGCCGGTTAGCCGCTAACCAGAAAACCGTCCGCCAGCCCTAGATGAAGTGCATATGTATTTGGGGGCTTATAGATGAGTTTGGGTAAGGTATGAATATTACTTCCATAATCTAAATGGGTATGGGTTGAATATGGATATCCATTTACTTGAGGGTGTTTTAACTACACATGCAAAAATTGGACGTATTTGTAAAACTTGAAAATTTTAGGTACCAAAATGTAAGACCAAAATAATTTAGGTACCAAAACGTAATTTTCCATCGATATTTTGAGGACTTATATGCAAAAAAAATTTAATTTTAAGTACTAAATATGCATATCTATTAAGTTTGGGTACCAAACTGTAATTTGTATTTGGGCATGGGTACAAACCCAAATCCATTTGATATAAACCCAACTCAACCCAAAGTAAATGGGTATGGGTACAAACCCATCAAACTCTACCCATATCCATCTATTTGGATTTCATACCCAACCCAATTGGGTTGGATAGTAAGAAACCCATGGGTATGGGCAAAGTTGTCATCCCTAGATGGAACTCCTCTATATAGGGATGGAGCCTCCAAAGTCAACCCGGGTGTTTTTTCCAGTTCGTATGGATTGTCGGTCTAGTTTGTCATTTTTGTCCACCATGTTGTAATGTTTGTATGTCTAAAAAACAACCGGGTTGACTTTGAGACGAAGCCCTCTATATAGGGATGAAGCCTCCAAAGTCAACCCAGGTGTTTTTCCAGTTTGTATGAATTTTTGGTCTAGTTTGTCATTTTTGGCCACCATGTTTGTATGTCTAAAAAACACCCGGGTTGACTTTGGGAAGGAGACCCTCTATATAGGGATGGAGCCTCCAAAGTCAACCTGGTTGTTTTTTCTTTTTGTATGGTTTGTATTGTTTGTCGGTCTAGTTTGTATTTTTTGTACAGTTTATATATTTGTAATGTTTGTAAATCTGTTTGTATGTTTTGTCGCTCTAGTTTGTACTGTTCGTATGTTTGTATGGTTTGTACTGATTGTAAGTCTGGTTTGTATACTTCGTAATTTTCCATGATACTCAAACTACCCCTGTCATTAATTAAATAGCCCTTCCCACTTTTTAACCATCAGATTGCTATATCCAGATCTAAAGGCTGGGAAGGGCTTAGTCAAGTGACTAAGCATCCCCCCTTAGTCACCAGATCCTCTCTCTATATGCGGATTCAGAATGGGTAGATTATTGCACCACATTTGAATAGAGGCAAAGAAGGTTGGGTACGAGCACTAAAATGAATATTTAAAATTGAAATTTTACAATTACTATACTAGATTTGGATCAAGAGGAGGGCTGGGCAATGGCCCAAGGGCGGAGTGTCGGAGCTAGGGGTAATTGGGGGTGTCCAATTTTGGGAAAAACGATTATCCAATCTCGGCAATAGTTTGCGTATGGGTAAAAAATATATGTATAAATGGTATACTAGGTGAATTAAATTAGGACACTAATAGTATTGGCCAACATGTTATCCATTAGACCACAACATATTTGTTATTGTATTTTAAATACAAGTCTAATAGTAAAAAATGCTATTCATTTTCCCAATTGTTTTCAAAATCTAACAATTAAACCCAATTACGTGCTATCCTAATTCCCTACATTCGATCATATCCGTTTATTTACTTGCTTCTCAAAATTATTGATTTTACTGATTGCAACTGCAAGTGTTGAAATAACATTTCGGCTTTGGGATACTTTAAGAGCAAGTTTCGAAATTGAATAAGCGATCAGTTTGTGAATGATTGTATAGTAAGATAGAGAGATTTGTTGAGCCGTGTAGACACTGAGTGTATTTTACAACTTTTTCAGAATATGAAAACACATCATAGACTTTTGCTATACATGCGTGGCCCTGGACCCGCCATTGAATTACCTTCTCTCTCCCCCTTGTTGGGCGAACCAACTCTCTCTATATATATACATGGGCCAACAAACGCAATATGTGCTAGTAGCTAGGGAGGGGAGCGGATCCCATCAGTAACTATATGGTGAGTCAAGGAAAATATACAACTCTCCCTTGTTTGAATTTTCCTCTTCCTTCTCTCTTGATTCTACTTTCCACTCTCCAGGGGGAGCCGCCGGCTTGACCTCTGAGTGACCGGTGACAACCCAAAATTTTCTCCCTTTACATTCCGCTTTTCATTTGCCAACCTTTTATGGGTTTCACATTTCTATTATACTTCTTTCCCTTGTGGATTTTCTCATGATCTTCTCCTTGGAGATAGTTCATTTTCCACACTTCAGAGCTGTTTACAGATCTTAAAGTTGTTCTTGCGTGGTTCGGTCCTTGTTGGTGGTTGCTAGAGGGAGCCATCATTGGCGGTTTGTTTTCTCCTTTCATGTTTCTAGTATCTACCTCCACACATTTCACCCATAAATGAGGGTGAATCGGAGATGTAACGACTTGATTTGACAAAGATACGTATTCATGGGGTTGAGAGCAGGGATGACATTCTTGCTGAAGAGTTTTTCGTCACTTGCTCAGTTTGGTGGGGGCTTCAGTTGATTGCCTTTGACACCTTTCTGCTTGTGTATGGGGTTGCTCATATTCTAATGTTTTGGATGTGTTTTGTGGTTGCTCTTTTTCGAGCCTTGCTGCTCTCTTTGTTCGGGTTCCAAGGAGTTGCTTTCTGGTGGGTGTGTGAGTGACTCTACCGTCGATCCTCCCCTGTTTTCCTTCTCTGTTGTGGATTTCTGTTGGAGGAGCCCTTCCTTTTTGTTTGTTTCTTCTTCATCAGTCCATGCATGTGATGTTGATCTTGTGGCTGGGTTTGATTATCTCTCCTTTTTCGTTTCCCGGCAAAAGGTTAGCTCCGACGGCAAGAAGGGAGCGGAGAATGGTTGTTGGGTGGGGATGTGGGCGCCGACCTCGTGCTATTTGTTCTATTTTTGGGCTATTTTCGAGTGTGGGCTTTTGGTTTCCTTTTCAGGCTTTGCATTTGGGCTTGCTGCTGGTCTCTCGTTTCTACACATGTGTTTTCCGACTCTTGAACTTTCCTTCCATTTGAGTTTCACGAACTCATGCTTTGTTCTCAGTGTATGGTTTTATTATCCATTAATGAAACTACTACTCTGTAAAAAAAAAAAAAACTCTATGGTGAGTAACCATAAAAAGAATCCGCCACATCAACAGTCCTCTCTCTTTCATTAAAAGTCTTTATTGTTTAACAGACGATTTCTCTTTCGTTTTAAGTCGAAATTAAAAAAAATTAACACCGTTGACCGTTAGTCAACACACCATGTCATTGTCTCGTCAGCCCAAAAATCATTAATAAAATTTAAATTTAAATTATTTTCCTAATTTCTATTATTTTTCATTATCAAATTAACCAAAAAAATAAAATTATAAAATATATAAAATAAAACTCATTTTTTATTTTTGGCTAATTTTGAAAATCATAAATTTTATAAATTAACCAAAAATTATCAAATTATTTTAAATGTTTATTTTTTAATTTTTTTATAATTTGAATAATAATAGAAATTAGGAAAATAATTTGAATTTGAATTTGAATTTCTTAATGATTTTTAAGCTGACAAGGAATGACATGGCGTGTTGTGTAACGATCAACTGTGTTGACCGTCCAAATTGACGGTCAAACCATGTGTCGGGCCAATTGAGTCTATATGCTGCATATTTGAGGATGTTAATTTCTGAAATCACATGCCAAAATTGATAATATGGTTATAGTTCGGGCCAAAATAAGGTATTAACCCTAAAATGAAAGCATACCATATGGTATAGACAGCGTACCACATTAGTATGAACATACCAAGACTGTAGGATAGTTGAATACATGATAGTAGAACGATACTAAAAACTAACTGTCATTTACGACTTTCAACATTGTGTACCACAAGGTAGGGGTGGGCAAACGGTTCGGTAAACCCGAACCGAAACCGAAACCGAATTAATGCTATTCGGTTCGGAATTCGGAAGGAAAATATGGATAGTTCGGAAATTAGGGTTCTTTCAACCGAACCAAATTTTCGATGAAAAAACCAAAATACTATAATTGCAAGCTCCAAATGGTGGATTTTTACGTTTGTAGTTGTTTTTAGACTTAAATATTTGAAATGTTTTGTGACTTATGTGTTGAAAAGTTTGGTTTTATCATTGATGATGCATATAATTGATATTTATTGTTTATATTAGGGGTGAAAAATAATTTAAAAGTGAGAAAATACAAGTAGCTTCACAAATTCGGTTTTGTGTGAAAAACCGAACCGAATTATAATTCGGTTCGAATTCGGTTTGAAGTTTGGGAGAATTCGGAGACCCGATATTCATAATTTTGGTTCGATCAAAATCGAACCGACCGAATGCCCACCCCTACCACAAGATAACACCCCCATACCAGGGTGGTATTGCGTGGTATTTTTTGGTCCTCTATTTTTTCACCCATAAATTTTTAGATCTAATAAATCATGATGAACTCGTTCCTTCTATGCAAAAAATTTACCATGACTTAAAAACGAAGGAGATACCATATGGTATGAAGCTGGTAATGATAGGTATGAAATTGTTTTTCTCAAAAAATATTGGAAATTGATATAATTTTGTAGAGCACAACAAACTCGTTTCATCTGTAATTTTTTTTAAAAAAATTCTAGTTACAACGAAGAAGATAAGAGTCGATTAAGAAAACTAGAAAAAATTAAATATTTCTAATTCTCGGCTCTTAAATCTGAATTTTCTTGGCTCACTAAATAATAATGAAGTTCAAATTTAGTTATACAACAATGCATAACCACCCTAACTTGAGCCGCTGGAGAGGGCCATCAACGACGAAACTTACCATTCGTACAATAGTCATCATTGATTTCACATTAAAGATAGTCTTGTACTAATCTATCACAAGAGCTCACAGTAATAAATAACTCTATATGTACGTATGCGTCTAACTTGCCATTTCTACAATAAACGACCTAAAATTAATTCAAGGCTACTATACCATGCATGCGTCACACATGTATGTACGAGCTAGGCTTCCAAAAATGGGCTACTACTAGAGTGGAAAGCCGTTTTCATTATGTTTGTTTTTCAATGGGAGGTTAGGGGGACGACGACCTCGCCCTTCATGCCATATATATCTACTAGATTGGCCCCGGGCCGGAGGAAGGTGAGGTATGAAATATCATAATGTAATGGGGTGTATAGCTTATTGTTGTATAGTTTTTTTGGGAAGCACGTGATAAAAATAGTGAATTTTAGTAGGAAAGAGACATGAATGATGCAACGAATCAAAAATCAGCCTTATGAACCAAAATCAAGTACCTATTACCTTGTGAAACAATATTGTTTCTGGTAATATGATGAGGTGGAGTAAGTTTTATAGAAACCGAATTCCAGAAAATCGAATAAAAAATCGCCTATCCCGCCGGTTTTCGGGAAATGAGCATCTCACAATCGTTGCAAGCTTTTACTCGGCCCGTTGGTCGATTAATTTGCTTTATAAAACTTTCAACTTGTCATCATTGTGCTTTCTGGTTTTTTGCCAAGCCATGATAAAATCTAAAGAAATCAAGAATGAACAACACGATTTGGGATACGAACCACCGTTCCTGTATCCCTAGAAAATGGTGGTAAACACGGACTCACCTGCCAAACTGGTTTGGATTGAGATTTTTATCAGGTATCAGGGAACCATGTGATTATAAATTAGACTTGATCAAAACGGGCCAAAACTTGAAATTTGGCCTGTTTGACCGACCCATGCCAAACTCTAATTATTCTTTACTTTTAAACTTTCTATTTGAAAATAAAAAATAATGAAAGAAAAGAGATGACTGCAATTCGCCATTTGCACATCACTGATTCGGGAATAAAACTATAGAATTTCGAAAGGAAACTGAAAATATTTAGGATCGTTTTAATGTTAAAAATAACCAAATAGATCTTTCTGTTTAGTTTTTTTACTAACAAATACCAAACGATTACCTATAATATACACTATAATTTAATCATTATGATATTAAATAATTACATAATATATATTTGAAATGATAAAAAATGGAATAATAATTGGGTTGGTCGAGGTTAAACCATTGAATAACTTTAAAATACATTATATTTTAGCCACTAAGATATAATATAATAGCATAATATATATTATGCTAGAGAAAATAGCTTGTTTTAGAATGGCAAACCCATGATGTTCATTTGTTTTACTTGATAGGCAAATCCCGTGTAGGTCATGCCCATTCAACTCTTTTATTTTATGATTAGCGATTAGCTCATTAGAATCCATGCATTAGTTTATTGTTAAATTTTTTTTCTTTTTAGCAATAAAAAGGAGTATTACTTTTGCCTTTTCATATATATTTTACCACCACGGAGAAATTAAAGGACTTAAAGAAAAAAAATTGACACTCTTGGACCCGTTTAAATCCGCATGTGTACGGTAAGCTGGCCCGTTCCACAGAGGAAAAAGAAAAAAATTGACACTCTCTATTCTACCCTTCGTACAAACGCTTCCAGAGCAGGGAATTTGAAATGGGGGTAGGGTTTTTTCTTCTATGCGATTATATGTTTTTAATTTAAAAAGATACAACAAATGTACTTAGTGTGATTGGTTATGATCTTTGTTTTTCTTTAAAGTGGTCATTGTTCGAATCCTAGTGTTTTTTTAATGAATAAAAAAAAAGTAATTGTGAAGACCAAAATGTCCTTCCTACTTTCACTCTGGATGCAGGAAATTTGAAATGGGGGTTCAAGTTTTCTCATTTGGCTTTTATTTATTGTGTAGATAGATTTAACGAATTGCACTCTTGAATGTGTAGAAGCGATGTAGAATTATTAACATAGACTTAATATCTTAAAGTAACGATATTTTTAAACACAGAACTTTTTAGTGAATATAGGGCACATGTGTCTTTATGAGAGGGGTAAATATGAAAAGGTTGAGTGATGTTGGTTTGTCGAACGCGGATGGAAAAGACACTACTAATGTAAACATGCCTAAATAGTGCCTAGATCCACTAAACGCTCAACCATCACCATCTCTCCAACCTAGAAAATGGTAGTAAACACGGACTCACCTGCCAAACTGGTTTGGATTGAGATTTTTATCGGGTACCAGGGAACCATGTGATTATAAATTAGACTTGATCAAAACGGACCAAAACTTGAAATTCAGCATGTTTGACATATCCATGCCAAACTCTAATTATTCTTTACTTTTAAACTTTCTATTTGAAAATAAAAAATAATGAAAGAAAAGAGATGACTACAATTCGCCATTTGCACATCACTGATTCGGGAATAAAACTATAGAATTTCGAAAGAAAACTGAAAATGTTTAGGATCGTTTTAATGTTAAAAATAACCAAATAGATCTTTTTGTTCAGTTTTTTACTAACAATTACCAAACGATTCCCTATAATATACACTATAATTTAATCATTATGATATCTAATAATTACATAATATATATTTGAAATTATAACAATTGGACTAATTGGGGGGCCAAGATCAGGTGACTAAGGGGGGGTCCCTTAGTCACATGACTAAGTCAATCTCCACCCTTGCATCTCATTAAAATCCAATGGCCCATATTAATCCAATTTAAAAAAGGGCAATATAGTAATTGCATGATTATTTAATTTATTAATTTATATAATAAACAAAAATAAATCAGTTTTGGCCGCTGTTGCCTTCGGACTTCCGCGATTCCCTAGCCGGCAAAATTTTCCCGGCGGTTTTTGGTGTCGTTTCCGGCGTCCTCTCTAGCCGGCGGCTACTGTGATTGCTGTCCATTTAGGAATGAATTGTTCCCAGGTGAGAGAGGGTGATTATTTTGGGAATAAATGGTCCCAGAGAGAGAGATCATGGGTGCCATTATTATTCCCTTCCCCCGCCGTCGTTCCGTTTTGGGAAAGTTGGCCCATGGCCACCGACACCACCATTTTCGGTGTGGCAGAGAGAGAGAGAGAGAGAGAGAGAGAGAGAGAGAGAGAGAGAGAGAGAGAGAGAGAGAGAGAGAGAGAGCTTTTCCGGCGACGGCGGAGCAGTTTTCTGGCGACCAGAGACGGTGGTGGATGATTTTACGGCAACAGTATTGAGTTCGTGATGTTTGTAATGTTTATATTACTATTTTGTGTAATATTTGTTTGTCTAGTTTGTATACTTTATGTTATGATTTATACACTTTCTATTCATTGATTTGTATTTGTAACTTTTGTTATTCAAGTTTGTATACTTTTATGTTATGATTTGTATACTTTGTATTCATTTGTTTGTAATACAAGTTTACCAATCTGTATTGTAAGTAGTGATATTCTGTACGTGTAGTATGCTTTGTACTGTTTGTAATGTTTGTAATGTTTGTTTGCAATGTTTGTTATTTTGTAATGTTTGTAATGTTTGTTGGTTTCTTTTGTATTGTTTGTAATGTTTGTTATTTTTGTCCACATGTTTGTCATTTTTGTCAACCATGTTTGTAATGTTTTTTGCATCACAAATCAATACATATAAAGTATACAAATTATTAGTACTTACAATACAAAGCGAAACATACTAAGAATACAAGCAAAACATACTAAGAATACAAACTGTCAAAGAAAAACATACTAAGAATACAAACTGTCAAAGAAAAACATACTAAGAGTACAAACTGTCAAAGAAAAACATACAAACCATACTGACATTTTGTACAAAAATACTAACAATACAAACTAATGTTACAAAACATACAAACTATACAAATCACTGTTCTTCCTTCAAATGACGATACGATGTCTCTCCACGCCGCCGCCGCTGCCGCCGCCGACGTCGCCGTCGACTCTCTCTACAGCCGTCGTTACCTCTCTCTCTCCATCACCGCGCCGCTTCTATCTCCTCCATCGTCGTCGAAGCTCTCTCCGCCGCCTCTCTCTCCTCACCATCGTCTCTCTCTCCTCTGTTTTCCGACGAGTAGATCTACTTTCTCTCTCCAAGGCTGCCGCCTCTCTCTCCTCCAGTGTAGCGGCGCTGCCATCTCTCTCTCCATCGACATCGCCGTCTTTCTCTCTCCTCACCATCCGCCTCTCTCTCCTCACCATCCGCCTCTCTCTCCGCCATGGCTTTCTCTCTCTCTGGACATCGCAGCAGAAAAGGGAAGAGGAGGAGACGGTTGCAGAAAGGAGAAAAATCAATAATAATTAATAAAATAAAACTGGAAAATAGGAGTTAATAATATATTGATAATGCCAAAACTACCCTTCTCATTTAATATTAATTAATTGATTTATCTGGACCATTAGATCAATCCAAGGGCTGAGGGGGCCTTAGTCAAGTGACTAAGGACCCCCCTTAGTCACCAGATCCGGACTTCTAATTGGGTTGGTCGATGTTGAACCATTGAATAACTTTAAAATACATTATATTTTAGCCACTAAGATATAAAATAATAACATAATATATATTATGCTCGAGAAAATAGCTTGTTTTAGAATGCAAACTCATGATGTTCATTTGTTTTACTTGATGGGCAAATCCTGTGTAGGTCAGGCCCATTCAACTCTTTTATTTCATGATTAGCGGTTAGCCCATTAGAATCCATGCATTAGTTTATTGTTAATTTTTTTTCTTTTTAGCAATAAAAAGGAGTATTGCTTTTGCCTTTTCATATATATTTTACCACCACGAAGAAATAAATGGATTTAAAGGAAAAAAATTGACACTCCTCGACCCGTTTAAATCCGCATGTGTACGGTAAGTTGGCCCGTTCCACAGAGAAAAAAGAAAAAAACTGACACTCCCTATTCTACCCTTCCTAAAAACGCTCCTGGAGTAGGAAATTTGAAATGGGGGAAGGGTTTTTTCCTCTCTGTGATTATATGTTTTTAATTTAAAAAAATACAACAAATGTATTTAGTGTAATTGGTTATGATCTTTGCTTTTCTTTAACAGCCTGTCTACTTTCAAAATGGATGCAGGAAAGGAGATCCCCCACTAGAAAAGTGTCTTTTTAATGAATAAAAAAAGTAATTGTGAAGACCAAAATGTCCTTCCTACTTTCAAAATGGATGCAGGAAATTTGAAATGAGACTTCACGTTTTCTCATTTGCCTTTTATTTATTGTGTAAATATATTTTATGTCATTGCTGACAATGCTATCAAATGGAACGGTAATTTCGCCAAGTAGTCATCTCCTGGCGAAAGGAGATCCCCCACTTGAAAAAATAAATAGGGTTATATGTGTAGGTGTTTATTTAGTATGAGTAGTTTACGAATTTGGGATGTCGTCGTTACGAATTCAACTCTCGATAATATATAATATACATAAATAAATAACACTATATCGATCCGTGGACATTGAAAGTTATTAACTTTCTAACTCGTAATTAAGAAAATCTCTCATCCTTTTATATGTATTAGAAAACTCTCAAAACATATTTGTTTTATTACGATAATTTTTTTATTGTCATAGAGACATTTTATGATAGGTCTATAATGTGTTTCATTATTAGATAGATAATGAAATGTCACTTTTCAATTATGAATTTTTCAAGAAGTGACACAATCGAATAATTTATAATTTGTGAATACCTATTTAACCAGATATATTAAAAAAATAAAAAAAAATACTATATTATTATATAATTTATTGGTAAAATTAACCCCACTAAAATCAAACTGAATCGCTAAACGTCGCCCTTAAAATTGCTATTGATCGCCCTAAATTAAAAATTAAATTACCTATATACCCCTAACTTAAATTTTAAAATTCAAACAAACAACTCCTAAATAAACCCTACCTGTATCCCTACCTCTTCCCACGACATCCCGCCGCCGACCCACTTCCATCCCGCCGCCAACAGCCCAACACCCACCTCCACCGGCACCCTCCTTCCGTCGTCGGCCTCCCACGTCTCCGAAGAAGACGACCGGCATAAGCAAAATCCGCCGCCAGCCACCTGTCCACGGCGCCCCCAGTCGACGAGTCGACCAACCGCCAAAAGACCATCGTCGTCCACGCACGTCGCCGGCCATCCGATCTCCTTTCCCGTCGTCCGTCGTCGTCACCGGCTATGTGCTCTCCCACCCGCGCGCCCAGTTGTCGCCAGAGAACCTTGACCGCCGTCGAAGTCTGTTGATCCATCGGATAACCGCGATCAACGCGCGGTTGGTCCATCGGCCGACCGTAGTCCTCGCGCGGTTGCACCATCGGTTGGACGCGGTCAACTTGCGGTCGGCCTATGGACCAACCGCATGTTGGTCGCGGTTGGCCGACGGTTGTTTTTTTTTTTTTGCATTTTTAATTAATTATTTAAATATATAATAAATTGTAATTTAATTAATTATTTATAAATATAATAATAAGTTGATTCTTCGTTCCTCTTATTGTCTACTGGATAGTTTTTTTTTCCTAGTCTAAGTGGTGTTTGTTTTCTAAAGGAAAATAAAGAAGCTAAAGGGTTAAAAGTGTAACTTTCATATTTTTTAGGGCGATCTTTAGCAATTTTAAAGGCGACCTTTAGCAACTCCCAAATCAAATCCGGACTATACCACTATCTCTAACTATCGCCTCCGCCTCATCTGCCTCGCCTCCTCCGCCCTGTCTCGATTAATTACTTAAATTACTTCCTCGCCGATTGACTTACTTAGCCACAATGTAATCAAATATAAAAAAGAGAACACGCCAAACACGCACACCTCAAGAAACAAGTGAGAGTTTATCCACCCCATACATAAGCTCGCTGAATTAAACTTTATCTTCATGATCAGACTTATTAATTAATTTCACCTTCTAGAACACCCAAGATAAATTAAGTATATATACAACATTAATTCTACTTTTCTAGTTTCTAAAAAATTTGATAATTTATGCAGGGATGAGCATTGGGCGGTAAGTGGGTAGATTCAAATATGATACACACTCATCAAAACATACAATACCAGGGGTCGTTTGGAAGTTGCGATTGTTAAATAGATGTATTGTTGAGAATGCATGTATAATATTATACATGTATTATCGAATTTGATGCATTGTAGAATACAACGTTTGGTATGTGTGATTGTGTATGTCGCATCATCTAAAAGCTGAGACAAAACAATCTCAACTCAACTATCTCAACAATCACAACTAAAAGTTGAGATATAACCTCTGTTTTCAGAACCGGACCGGAGGCTGAACCGGAAAAGTTAGTGGTTTAAGGGTTCACTGGTTAACCGTTACAAAATCATTGGTGAACCGTTGGTAGAACCGTTAATGATATATAACATATAAGGCTTGTATATTACACTAATTTAAGAATGAAATTATCATTGACCATAAACAAGTTCAAATTCATATCATCACGAAAATATCTAATAAATCATTCCAACCATCTCACAAAAGAAACCATATTTTTTAATTCAAATTAAAAATTACGGTTCTAGTTGGTAGTAGGCAATGTAAAATCGACAATAAGGTTGAGGAAGCATATATAAAATAAATAATTATGATTTGATGGTCTTAGTTTATGTTAAAATATTTTTTTTTTCGTTAAAATAGTGAACCAATGGACCAGTTAAACCGTGTCGGTTCATCTGATTTTATGTTGAACCGTGAAAAACCATTTGGTCCATCAATAACCGTTCAAACCAGTGCTGTCAAAGCCGAACCGAGCCGGCCGGCTGGACCGCCAAAGCCGCCACCCGGTCGTAAAACCGGCTCGGATCAGCTATTTAACCGCCACGGTTTTATACAGCGGCCGGCGAGCGGCCGAAGCGGTTAACCGCTCGAGCCGCTCAAGACGGTCGCACGGTTCGGCTGTTTGGTTTACCCTAAAAAAAAAGCCCAATCGTGGAATGGGGCAGCCAAACAAAACCCTAACTTTCATTTTATTTCTTCATCTTCGACTTAGAAGTAGAACAGACGACAGAGGGAGAGTGGCGCCACCCTGCCGCCGTCAACCATCGCCCCAGCGCTTCCGTCCCGTCGCCGCAAGCAGCGCGCCATCCGACAACGGGGTAATTCATCTCCCTTCTTCTTCTTCTTCACTCTTTCCGTTGGTTCTGGGGATTTCTATGTTAGCATTTCTCCAGTGTGGGCATTATTGAGCTGTCGGTGGCGATTGGTTTACTGGGTATTTGATTACTGGTGGATCTAGTAGTCGTTTGTCTGATCTTGACGTGATTAGCGTAGATTTTGAGATGTGCTGATAGGGGCAGCTAGTTTGCTTACGAAATGGACTGCTGGGGGATTAATCGATTAGATCTGTCTTCTAGAAGTTTCAGAATGGTAGTGTTAGATTTTCCATTGTAAATTTGCTAATTTGATACCGGTTCTCAAACGGTTTTTAAACGGTCTAATGCCGGCTGGACCACTAATGACCGAGCCGTTCACGTTACCGGGTCATACTCCGGCTCGGCTTTGACAGCATTGGTTCAAACAATGAACCGAACCGCCATCGTAACTGATTTGATGGTTCTAATGGCCCGGCCGTTGATCCGGTTCGGTTCTTATAACAAGGGATATAACAATCACTCAAAATGAGTGATAGTTTCTGTCACATCATAGAAACAATCCATGTATTGTTTCTGCTAAAAAAACGATGCTTTGTAAACAATACATGCATAATGACAATCTCAACAAAACAATCGCAACTTCCAAACGACCCCTGAGTGGATTGATGTGGTCTGTATATAGTCCTGGAAGCAACTTACGTCAGATTTCATGGTCGATCGAGTTTTTATCGGGTGGATAGGGTGGGTTCGATGGAATGACTCGCCTAATGCTCATCTCTAGCTAGCAAAATGAATACTATTTTAATGGCTAAATTGCAAGTTTGGTCACTTGAATTACTAGTAAAATTTACGTTAGCCACTAGAATTACTTTATTCCATCCGTAGTCACTTAAATTATGTTAACAGTCCAAGTTTGGTCACTGGCCGTTAGTCTCCGTTAACTTTTGCTGATGTGGTGGTCAACTCTAATAGTTGCCCGTTAAATGAGTGATGTGGTAATTAAAAAATAATAAAAAATAATAATTCTTTTATTTTTAGCTAATTATTATAGATTAAAAAAAGAAAATCCTAACTTTTTTAATTATTATTTTTCTGACGCCCTTTCATCTTCTTCCTCTCTACCCAAACAGGGGATTTATATTCTACTATCCATCCCCAAATTGAGAGCAACAGAGAGAACCCCATAATACCGCAATCTTGAATCAAATTATCAATGAGGGTGCAAAATCAAATAATTCAACCACTGATTGAGCATATGCAATTGACACAGTGGAAGAAAAGAAGAAGATATAATATTGTCCGTTGCATCCAGATCCAGTCACAATGGCCGACAAGTCTAATCTTCCTGGAAACAATAACCCAATAGATTCCCGATCCAAAACCCACCCATCGACAAAAGCATCGATCGATGATCTGTGTTCCTGTGTCTCGTTTCTGTACCCAGCTCCACACAAAACCCGCCGACTATGGGGAAAAAGTCTACCTGGGTACTGTATATCTTGCTCTATATTGAAATCTCGAGATATATCTTCCCCCGCTGATCTCCTATGCTCGGTCCAGCCAGTACTTAACATCATCGGAGTCACGGAGCTCTGCAACAACACTAGCGCGATGGCGAACCCGAACACCGAGAAAGCCACGACGAAGTAGAACAAATAAACCTCGCAGAACGCGAGCCAGCTCTTCCGACGCCCTCCTCTCGCCCCGTGGTGGTGGTGATGCCATATATGTCAATTGCATATGTTCAATCAGCGGTTGAATTATTTGATTACGCACCCTCATTGATAGTTTGATTCAAAGATTGGGGTCTTATGGGGTTCTCTCTGTTGCTTTCAATTTGGGGATGGATAGTAGAATATAAATCCCCCCTGTTTGGGTCGAGAGGAAGAAGATGAAAGGGCATCAGAAAAATAATAATTAAAAAATTTAGGATTTTTTTAATTTATAATAATTAGCTGAAAAGGAAATAATAATTATATTTTATTAATGTATTATTTTTTAATTGCCACGTCACTCATTTAACGGTCAACTATTAGAGTTGACCGCCACATCAACAAAAGTTAACGGAGACTAACGACCAGTGACCAAACTTGAACTGTTAACCTAATTTAAGTGACTACAGATGGAATAAAGTAATTCTAGTGGCTAACGTAAAATTTGCTAGTAATTCAAGTGACCAAACTTGCAATTTAACCCTATTTTAATACTATGTAAAGAAAAAAAAAAATTATAATGAGTCCAACTTCAGAATTTAATTTAGAAAGAACGGGGGCAGGGGCTTACCGCCGCTCGAATATAATCCAACTAGGGCTGCAAACGAGCCAAGTCAAGTCGAGTTTTTGCTTAGTTTGAGCTCGCTCGTTTATAAATTTTTTAGCTCGAGCTCGGCTCAAACTCGAATTTTGATCATCCAACTCGAGCTCGAGCTCGACTCGATTAAAAATAATCCAGCTCGAGCTCGGCTCGATAGAGCACAGTAAATGCTCATTAACACAGCTTGTCAAGCTGAGTACAAGCTCGACTCAAGATAAGCTCAATTTGAAACAATTCTTGCTGAAAAATGTGTACAAATAAGAACATTAGAAATTAAAAATGATAAAAAGAACACTAGAACCTAAAAATAACATCTAACTTCTATACACATCCTTATTAACAAAATAATTTTCATGTTCAAAAAAGTAATTAATAATCCTTCCACAAGCTTTAAACAAGCCAGCTCGCGAGCTTAGCTCAACAAGCCACCGAGTCAAGCTAGCTCACGAGCTTATCAAGCCGAGCATGGCCTAGCTCAAGTTTGGCTCGTTTACTAACGAGCCGGTCGTCGAATATCGAACGAATTTTTTCCGATTCGAACGACGAATTGCTCGCGAGTGGCTTGGCTCATTTGCAGCCCTAAATCCAACTGGCATGGTGAGTCAAATTTGCCTACGGGGCTACACTACAAAACTGAACATATTAATATATTAATTAATAATAAATACCTTTAATTCCTCACGTCACTATGTGGTTGTTTGCAATTTTGTCTCTCTTAGTCAAATTAATTAGAACAACTTGGGCAATTTGCAGCAGGAACCGAGTTTTTCTTCTTCTTGCAACCGATTCCGGTTCCCCAATCCTTATCAATCGCTCCTCCTCTTACGTTAACGTAGGTTTGTCCACTTGTCTGTTCCCCACATGAATCTCGCAGTAGTACGCCTATTTTCCCACTCCCCCTAACAGTGGGTAACCCAAATATGGTCATCCAAGTAGGAATGATAATGGACAGGTTTCATACGGGTATCACGATTCGCTCCGTAGCAGGTCGAATTTAGGTTGGATAATTTATCAGGATCACGGGTCGGGGCAGTACGGCGCAATGTGCATGCAATTTATATGAAAAATATTAGAAATATTTGTTAACTTCATTATAAGACCAATAAAACAAACCATATTATGACAAAATGTAGTTGAATTATTAGAGAAATTGATTTTCACTAATTTACAACTTTAGTATAGCTAAAATATGATGTAATAAAAGGAAAATCCTAAGTATTTTGACTAAGTTTTTTTTTTTATAGATAAGGGTGATATAGGTTAATTTTTTATTATTAGGTACTACTTAAGGGACTTGAACCTGAGACCTCCAGGTTCATGGCTAGTGGTATTACCACTAGACCAATCCCTTGTTCGTTTTTTTTTACTAAGATTACAGGTAATTTAGGCAAGAACAGGTCGAGAATGGGGCGGGTCAGGGCAAGTTGAATCGATTAGAATACTCATGCCCGCTCCGCCTACAGGGCGGGTCGTACCCACCCCAAAACAGGCCAAACAGGTTGGGTAAAAGGGGTCAGGTCGAAATTGTCATCCTTACATCTTACTGGTCATTAAATAGTTGGACGGCTGAACATTGCCCTTGTTTTTCTTTTATCGCTCTAATTTAAAACATTAAATTACTTAATTAACCTTATTAAACCAAATAAACATAAGCAAAACAACGCTGGCAAAAATTCCTAATAATCCTCTACCATCTTCGTCAAAAGAGTATCGCCGCCCTCCCAAAAACGTCCATCGCAAGGTTCCTTCGGGCTCATATATTCCCTCCCTCTCCTTTCAGTCGAGCAACTTCGTTACTTCGGGCTCACATTGTTAGCGAACTAACCACTTGGTCCCAATAACTCGAGTTGTTGGGAAAGGGATAGTTAAGCCTTTTAACCTCTTATACGCCCCCTCAAACGAAAGCCGATGCCGAATTGTGGATTTTTACGGTTTGCACAGGTTGAACCCTTGTGCTGCCAAACCACGAGGCTTTAGTTTGCACAGGTTGGACATACCATTCCTTGTGCTAAACGAATTGGCATGAAATGGGGGTCGTTATGAGGATTCGAAACCATGACCTTTTGGTTCTAGGCTCTGATACCATGTTAGCGAACTAACCACTTGGTCCATCAAATGTAGTCAAGTATCAGGTCGAGGCATTCACGATCCATCAAATGGTCGTCCCCTGGCGTTCAAAAGGTAGTACAATCAAAGTGGTAATCGTCCCTTCATCGTCCAGCTGGCATTCACGATCCAAGAAATGGTCGTCCCCTCTTCCGGTTCAGTATTGGGCGCATATCAATCATTCATCGCTTTTCAAGATGGGCATTCACGTTGTTCATGCTCCAGCTTGAGGGGGAGAATAGGAGGTCAACATACGTCGGTCGACTAACTCAATCATCAGGTCGACCGCGATGTACCAGGTGTGTTCAAGTTCAAGAGACGCAGTCAATCGTCTCCATCATCAGGTTGTTCAGAGAGAGTCAGTCGTCTCCAATCAACCTCGTCTGAGATGTTATTCATCTCGAGTTTTGTGGTTCAAGCCATCATGCTTGTTCTTCACATTTACTTCTTCAAGCTCGACATTCTTGTCATTCATGTCTTCGCTTGAGGGGGAGTGTTGGACTCGTTGGAACTAATCTCAGTTAGTTACAAGTCCAATTGGAGTAAGAACTCTAATTGTAGTAAATAACCATTAGTTCTCCTTGTCCATTTTGGTTTTGTATTCCTTTCTTGTCAAGCCAAGGTCACGGCTGTGCAAGGATTAAAGCCTAAACCTTTTCTATTTAAGAACTAAGCTACCAAGTCTTGTGGTAAGCTAGTCGGTCACAATGTAGTCGTTCAATAAAACGTTAGCCGTGAGCTCGTTCGAGCTCACCGTGGATTAGTCTCGATCAATCAATCGATCGAGGATACCACGTAAAATCTCGTGTTCGTGTGTTGTTCCAATTCCGCATCATCAAATTCTACACACATATGATAAATCTTCGTCCGAATAGAGGGCTTTCAGCGCCTTGAATTCCCATAATAGCAAAATTCCACCCGCTCGTCCATTGGCATCAAATATAATATTTGGTCAAAGCACCCAATTGGATGCCTTATTCAGGGAAATGGGTGAGGTCGAAGCGACCAAGATTTCTTCTGGACCTGAATCGCCCCCCCCCCCCCGGAAGCCGGAGACCTAAAATAAACTACCACCTCATTTGGTTAACGAAGTGAAAGATAACATTAAGACCTTTGACCTAATAAACCATAAGTGCGAGGAAGAACGTGCATTGACCCCTATTTGATTTGAGTTTTTGAGCTGACCCTTGATAAGGAACATGGCCTAAACAGTTTGAAAGAACGTCAATCTTCCACCTCTGGAAAGAAATCACTGGTGCTGCCGCCAAGAACTTGTTTTTTTAGTGACAAGAACTTGTACTTCAAAACACCTTCATCATAAGAACTCTAGAGTCAGAACGTCGCTCTGCTGCCGATCAACTAAAACTCGGGGTATTCGGTCTCGATGATTACATATTGGGTTTCTTAATCGGAACTCTCTGAACCGTCTTCCCTTACAATCCCTAATTGTGTTTCATCTCCTCACAACGAGAGCGGCGGCGGCCCTCCTCACTGTCTACGCTGACCACATGTCCTGCCATCATCAGACTCCTTTCCGGGCGGCAATCCCTCCAATTCCCTGCCGCCATTCAACCCCGGTTCATCTGACTAGCGATGAACCCTCATTCTCAGTTGGCTTCATTTTCTGGTGGCTGACGCCGCTCTCCATGTCGCTTTGATTAATCGCTCCTTGTTATTAGTTCTGCTATTAGTGGGGAGCATTCAAACCCATATCAAACATAATTGAAGATTTTACTGCTTTAATTTAGAAGGGTTAATAGTATAATTTGCCCATCTACTATAGACTTTTCTCAAACGTGCCCCTCTACCATGTTTCAACTCAAATATGCCCATCTACTTTGAATGTATCCCAAATTTGTCCTTCTGTTAGATTTTCCATCCAACATCTGTTAGTTTTGGAAGACGAAGTGATATACAAGGAGACCAAGATAGATCATAGTGGCGCTGGTTAGGTAGAACTTTAGGGGTAAAATTGTCATTTCAATTGAATTGGTTAATGGTTCAACCGAAACTAACAAATTTGGGATGGAAAATATGAGAGAAGGGTATGTTTGGTAAGAAATTCGAAGTAGATGGGCATATTTGACGTGAAACATAGTAGAGGGACACATTTAAAAAAGGTTCGTAGTAGAGGAGCACATTATGCTACTAACAAAAAAAAAATTTAATTGTTAACTTTACTATTATTTATATATTTATTTATTTTTAAAATAATTAATCTTATATATTTAAGACTATTAAAGTACTATTAAATGTAACTTTAGGTTAAAGATGAAGTATAATACTCATACATATTTCATACATAAATTTTCCGTACCATATTTTACTAACCATGTATTTAGTATTATTAAATTGTTAAACCAGTATAAATATCAATATATCATATCTCTTACTTTTCATGTAACCCTTGTTTTTCGAGGAAAAATAGCTAACCGACAAAACAAGGCCGATACTACAGTGCCGCGCTAAAAAGTGCGGCACCGGTGACGCCATTTCTGATTGGGCCACGTGGCGCTGACATGGCCTGACTGGTTTATTTAATTTGAGCCCAAAGCCTATTGACCTATTGGAATTGGCCCGAACCGACGCCGTACCCAAACGGACGGATTCTTTCCGTTAATTTTTTTCCCATCGTTTTCCCCATATTATTTTGTTAAGTTTTATTTTTTTTTCCTCCAGAAACCAAGGAAACGAAGGGAAAGTCGAGCAGTTTGGTGTCGATCTCCTTCTCTCGGTCGAAACTGCTCCGACGAGAATCAAAACAGCTCCGGCGGATACAAGACTAGTCCAGGTCGGAGAAGGGGAGAGAAGCCTCCTTCACCGGCGGTCCCTCCCAAATCATTCCTGCCCTCGTCGTCGATCCCATCTACAGGGTCAATCTTACGCGTCGATTGCGGCGAACCCGACCCCTGCATAGTCAGTCCTCTCTATTTTATATCAAAACTTCCCTCACCCACTCATCTGTTGGCCAGGACTAACCTCTGCCACGAGAATCTCTTTGCAGCCTCGGTAATTTCAGTTGGATTCCTGCTCTTGTAAGGTAAGGTAAGGTATAGCTACTTTCAGTTGGATTCCTAGGCATAATGTCTTTGCAATATATATTAACTTCTCGTAGAACATGATATGCATATCGGATTGAGGAATCTTTTTTTATTAGAAGTTAGTATGAGCAACTCGGCTTGGAAAATGGCATGAGAAGGTGGTGGCAGAGTAGTATATTTTGAACAACTCTCTGTAATTGATATGGAAGATGAACTGGGATAGGTAGGTTGTAAGCCCTTTTTGCTTTGATTGAGCGTTTGTTATCTTTTGCAAGGTTGTGTATCCGTTTACTTGTGTTTACAATTATGCATAATTATCTTTTGCAAGTAGTTCTCGTGGCTGCAGATGTAGTACAGCCGCGTTGTGAGAGGTGGTGACACCTACATCTTGTCATGTTAATGCTGAACCCTTCCCCGCTGCAACAGTGGTAGCCATTCTTTTTCACATCTAGCTGTCGTAGAAGGGACCGGATACGATAACAACACCATATTTGTTGTTATGGTGATAACAATATAAGGCAGCCAATGAGAAGCGACCCTTTTGCATACTTTTTAGTTTTATGAGTTTTATGAGTTGACTGAATTTCTGCAGACCAAAAATTGAAGGAAGGGCATAATGGTCACTACATTTTTTTCTACCCATGCCGCCCGCGTGTATTGAGCGTGCTTTCTTAGAGTAGGGCGCGTGACCTGCACTTATCTGCCAAAGCCCTTTTAATTAACTAATTATTTTATTTTTATTACTAATAATTATTGGCTGCCTAATGTTAGAGAAGCGCTAGCTTTTGGACAAAAAAAAACAAGTAGGATTTTTGTTCTATTTGGAAGATTACTTTCCATAAAAAGGAAAGAATAAATAAATTTGGAAATTAATAAATAGGATCTTCTTATCTTATGAATGAATGTGATCCGATTTATATAAATTTATAAATTAGTCTTGAGCCTCGTCGTTTAGTCGAAATACGAAAAAAAATTTAAAAGAACTTTCTCATATCTGACAGCAATGTTGCGACACACATGAAAGTGTAGCGAATTATTATATAATGATCACTGCTCGCGGGAGTCCAGTCAACGATCACTAGTCGCCGGATTTTGTGGTCTGCATTATAGATTTATAATGTACTTTCTCGTGTTAATTGTGTGTTTTTATGGTTTGATTTCTCGTGTTTCTTATATTTTTTTTTAGTTTGCTTTCTCATGTTTTTAGTTTTTTTGTAGTTTGCTTTATCGTGTTTGTGGTTTGCTTTATAATATTTGTGGTTTGCATTAATAGGTTTCTGGTATTCTTTCGAAATATTTTTGGTTTGTTTTGTGGAGTTTCTGGTATGTTTTAATAGATTTGTAGTCTGCATTAGAAGGTTTCTGGTTTGGTTTTTGTGGTTTGTTTTACGGTGTTCGTGGTTTGGATTATGAGATTTCTGGTGTGCTTTTGAAATTCTGTGGTTTGCTTCGTGGGGTTTCTAGTATGTTTCAGGAGACGTGTGGTTTGCATTAGGAGGTTTTTGGTTTACTTTTTGTAGGTTGCTTTATCGTGTTTGTGGTTTGCATTAGAAGATTTTTTGTGTGCTTTAGAAATATTTATGGTTTGCTTTGTGATATTTCTGATATGTTTTAGGAGATTTGTGGTTTGCATTAGGAAATTTGTTGTATGCTTTTTGTGGTTTATTTTATAGTGTTTGTGGTATTCATTAAGAGATTTCTTCTATGTTTTAAAAATATTTGTGTTATAGTATCCGCGGCCAAACTCATATCAGCCACGACTAAACATTTCATTCAAAATACTTCATTGTACATCAATATAGTTTATTTACTATGGTTTGTTTTCTCCAACCCTCAGAACCAATACGAGAAATTACACTATAAAATGACCAATCCAAAATGCATGGGAATGAATCATTTCCCCTAGAACGTTTTTTATAGAAATAAAATGGGAGCAAATCTATACACATATTGGTACATACTGATACTGTCTCTTTCTTTCATTTCTTTTTTCCCCTTTGGAAATAATGTTGAGCGGCAGCTTTATAAGAAAGAAAGAAGAAAAAAATGTTGAGCGGCAGCAGTTACGAACGCGAGGAAGGAAGAGGTGGTGCTACCACCGCCTCTCGCGACTCCACCGACAGAACTTTTCCTTCACCCCTTGTCGCAATTAACAAATCAGGCCGTCAATCACCATTGGCACCCTCTGCTTCCCATGTTCCAAAGAGCTCTCCATCTCTCCCGTCATACCTGCAATCCCATCGTCACACTTTACAGCCTCCTCCGACACCACTATCACCGCATCCCACGACTTCATCGGAACAACTTTCTCCATTACCTCCTTCATTGCATCGTACGTCCGAAGTTCCAAACGAGTTCCAGTTCTATCGACAAAATCGCAAGCCCCATTCCCTAATTGATTAGTCACTTGTCGGACCGATCTTGGGAACAAGGAAGGAAGCTGCTTCGACCTCACCGTCGGTCATGCAGAGAAAGACGTCCACCAACTGAGACAGATCGAACTTCGGCGGCATGGTTACGGCGGCTGCGCAGAGGCAAACAGTACTTTAGGGGTCGTTTGCTTCATGGATATAAAAATGAGGGTTTTGTAATTTAAAAACCCAAGGATTTATCAAAGATTTGAGGCATCATGGATTTGTAACAATCCTTTGTTTGTTGGGATGTTTTTATCATGGATTTAAAAGTGTGGGATTTACTACTTAAAGTCAAAAATTACATTACTGGAGCACTTCTACTATGCTATATAGTATTGGTGCTTTAATGTACAACTCAAAGTTGTACCATAACATTAAATGTATAAGTTTAGGTTGTACCATAAAGCAATTTGTACCATTATGTTATGATACAACTTTACAACTTGAAATTGTACCATCACATAAAGGTACAAGTTCAAGTTGTACCATAAAAGAATTTGTACAAAAAGTATAGGTACAATCTGAAGTTGTACCATAATGTAAATGTACAATTTTAAGTTGTACCGTAAAGGCAAAAACCTATAGCACCAATACTATATAGCATTGTAAAATTTCTCTACAGTACTGCCCTTTTCTATATGTTTGACATGTTTATGATATGTACACAAAACAAGGACAAAACTTCAAAATTACCTTACTATCATTTTCTATATGTTTGACATGTTTATGATATGTACACAAAACAAGGACAATACATACTAATAAGCATAATGTTGCCACATGGACAATAATAATAAACGAGAAAATTCCGTTTTAACTTTTAACATAACATAATCAATTACCAATTCTTTGTCCTCCTTTTCAAAAGTGACATATAACAACATATATTAGAATCGGGAAAACAAAGAATTACACGTTGCATGAAAAGGTCAAAGAAAACTAAAACACAAGAAATGATATAAAAAATCTAACTCATGTTTGCACATTAATTGAACGTTTATATTATTCATTTATTGTTAATTATAATGTATAATAGTTAAATTTGAGGACAACCTTGGAATATTAAAAGTGCATGAGGGTATATGGGTAAAATCTCATCAAGGATTTATGCCATATTTCAAATCCCACATCAACATGTGGGATTTATAAGTCCGTGGGGTCCACGGATTTGGACCCTTAAAACCCGTGGGGCCCACGGATTTGGTCTCCAAAAAAGGTGCAAGCAAACAACGGATTGTACCTAAATCCTTGATAGTTGGTTTTTTGGTACCAAATCCATGTACCAAATCCTTGAAACAAACGACCCCTTAGGGTTTGACGTTTGAGAGAACGGGGAAGGATTTTGGGAGTGCAACATCTTTATGATTTATTTTAATTTTATTAATTCTTAGTATGTTTACGGTTTTGCCCTTAATGAAACTTGTTGTTATTATAACAACATAAAGAGTGTTGTTATACTATCCGCACCCGTCGTAGAAAGTATTGTTGGGCCAGAAATCTACATGCTTTGCAAGGTCATCTCATAAAAAGACCAGTGCAACCTGAGTAGTTTGATCATCCTTACTCGCAAGTATTGAGTTTGAAATGAATGGTACAGTTTGCTTACCTTCTAGCATGAGCAAGGCAGTTGTACCTGTCGGGAGTCAGTTTTCCTGCAACTACAAGAAGCATAGAAAGAAGTTAGTTTCACATGATGGTAAAACCGTCTATTAAGCAACCCAACATGAACGGAAATTGAAATTGATGGAGTGGTCATGCCAATTGTAAAGGTCACAAATTTTCAAGCCAGGGATATAATTGACACCAGAAAGACTCCATGGTCCTGCCTCTCAGGTTATAGGTCTGTTAACTGTATCGTCTAGCCTCTCTCTTTCAAACAAACCTTAAAGATAAACAATAACCTTACCACCTGTCAAAGAATACAAGAATATGATATGAAACGTCATAATCAAGCTAACAAATTGAACAAAATGCACCAGTTGAATTAAACATTAACTAAACTCCAATAGACTAAGAAGGAAAACAGTCTCATCTTGCTACAATGGAGGCCAAAATCTAATATATATATATCCATTAGCTTTCTCATACACCAAACTGTACATATATCTAGAAATTGGTACCCTGTGTTAGATCCCTTCAATACACTCGATAATCCACATCTACGGGAGAGAAAACTCCAAACACATACAACAAGCTTTCTAGTGTATTTCCATGCATGAGTCAACACATAGTTGCCCATTCATCTTGTCTTGTCCATACTAACATCCAATCAAAAAGATTCCTCACTCCAATATCCATATCATGTTCTGCGAGGACTCTATATATGTTTCAAGTCATGATGCCTAGCCTTTCCAACCATTCAAAGGAAACGTATAGTGAGAAGAAGCGCAATATTAAAGTAGCTATAACTTACTTAGAAGAGCAGAATATCACCTCAATTTCTCGAGATAGGAACAAATTCTCTCGGCAGAGGTTAGTCTTGGCTGACAGATGAGCAGGCGTGGGAAGTTTAGACAGTACAAAATAGAGAGCACTGACTCTGAAGGGGTTGGGTACGCCACAATCACCGCGTAAGGTTGACCTTGGAGATGGGATCGAGCACGAACTAGTGATGATTTTGGAGCGACCGCCGGTGAAGGAGGGCGTCTCTCGATCCGGTACTTGGCGACAGTGCTCTTCGATGATCATAGAGGCCCCGAAGATACAGATTTCTTCGCCTTTGAACAAGCCACCGGGATGATTTTGGAGATGGGTATTGGCCACGAACAAGTCACCGAATCGATTTTGGGAGAACGTCGGAGAAGGAGATCGAGGAACAGCTTTTCGTTCGTCCGTCGTCGTCCCCTGTTTACCAGTTTTCTCAATCGTCCGGAAAACAAACTAATTCAATTTTTAATTAATACAAATATAAATACAGTTTGGCAAAATAAATAAAAAAATGGTTAATTGCAAGGTTGGTCATTGGGTTTATTAAAAACGTTCACATATGGTCACTACAAATATTTAATTCCAATCGTGGTCACTATGATTAGTTCAATAGTTCAAGTTTGTTCACTCTCCGTTAACTTTTGCTGATGTAGCAGTCAACCTTTATAGTTGACCGTTAAATGAGTGACGTGGCTATTATAAAATAATAAAAAAATAAAATTTAATCTATCAAATTTCCACCTCATTACAAATTCATTAAAATATAAATCCTAATTTCTACTAATTGCCCTCCACTTTGGTTTTGTCCACCACCACCAATCTCCACCTAAGAACCCTCTTTGGCAGCTTCCTCCTTTTTTCCAGTTGAGTTTGGAAGACCCCTGTTCAGTCAATTTCCATTTTCCGGGGATGACAAAAAGTCCCCCAGAAACTTAGTCGACAATGGAGTTCGGTTGAGAATTGTGGACGCGATTACCGATTTGAGCGATCATCATCATCCCGTTCGGGATTGGACATAATTCTCCCAACCGGCTATTTCGCTGAAATTCAGTCCCATCACGATTGTGTCCCTGGCGCGGCTGCCGGCCGCCAATTTCAATTGAGGGGTTGGCTTGTTGCAGCATGCCCTCGAAAAGAAGGGTGTCTTGTTGCTCCTGTTCAATTGAGGGGTTTCAATCGAACCCACCACCGCTACTGTTCTGCATGGGTGTCTTGTTGTTCCTAGTCTTCCAACGAAACTGTCGCCACCGCAGCAGCAGAATAAGAAGACGATGAGCGAGCATCGAGGGTTGTTGAAGAAGGAAACATCAGTGAAAAGGGTAATCGTGGTGTGTTGAATTATCAGGGGTGATTAGGATATTTGGTGTGGTTCCGGGATTGGATTTATGGTAGTTTTGCTTCCGGCCGCGGAGGTGATGGAGGAGGAGAAAGGTTAGGTTTAGGTGTTTATGGAATAATAGGAAATTAAGTTTTATTTTTTATTTTTTAATAGTTGTAGAAATGAGGTGTAAATTGTAAACATTTAAATTTTTTTGTTTTTTTAATAGCCACGTCACTCATTTAACGGTCAACTATAAAGATTGACTGCCACATCAGCAAAAGTTAACGGAGAGTGACCAAACTTGAACTATTGAACTAATCTTAGTGACCATGAATAGAATTAAATATTTATAGTGACCAAACATGAACGTTTTTGTTAAATCCAATGACCAAACTTACAATTAACCCTAAAAAAATGAATAAGCGTTTAAGTTGGACGGAGAGGGAGTCTCTGTTAGTGTGGGAGAGCCGGGTTGGTTTCAGTTCTGGTTACTCATGGCTTTGGGTCGCGCTAATTAAACCAGTCACTGCCACATCAGCGCCACGTGACCCAATCAAAAACAGGGTCACCGGTACCGTAGCATTGGCCACAAAACAAAGGCAATGGTATTTTGGGCTGAGCGTAAATGAAAGGACCGTGGTCCATCAGTGGCCCAGTTTCTTTAGCTTTGGATCCCCCTCAACATTTTGGGCTTTTCTTTGGAAGTATTCTTTCATCATCCCCTCAGTCTTCGCCCGCCCCCCAAAAAATTTGCGCAATCTAACAGCCATGGCTTCCACAGAACCTCCTGCCGCCGTTACACCGCCGTCCTCCAAGCCCAACCTCCTCCCTCTGGCCTCCCCCACAATTATCACCCCCTCCGCCGCAGCGTCCGTCGCCGTCGCTCCAACCGCCTCCTCTTCCTCCCCCGCCACCCCCTCAGTCGCAACTCCTCGACCTATCCCCTCCGACGCCGAAGTCGTCCACATCCCTAGCTACTCATGTAATCTCCCTCTGCAACTTCAGCATCTCCCATCACTTCCCTTCGCAGCCATGAGATTAATTGTCTAGTTCCTTTCCCTTTTGCGTCTTTTCTCTTTTCAGGCTGGTTCTCCTTGGGCGACATTAGCGAATGCGAGATTCGTTGTCTGCCGGAGTTCTTCGATTCTCGGTCCCCTTCGAGAAACCCTAAGGCGTACAAGTACATCCGTGACTCCATCGTCAAGCAATTCAGGCGGAATCCTTCCTCGAAGATCACCTTCACCGAAGTCAGGAAGACGCTCGTCGCCGACGTCATCTCCATCCGCAAAGTTTTCGATTTCCTCGACGCATGGGGCCTCATCAATTACTCCCCAGCTGCATTGAACAAGCCTTTGAAGTGGGAAGACAAGGATTCCAAGTCCTCCCAACACGCCGCCGATTCGCCGGCAGGGCCTTCCTTGGACTCCACTCCTCCCGTCAGGGAAACCTCAAAGCGGCTTTGTGGTAGCTGCAAGTCCGTCTGCAGCATAGCTTGCTTTGCTTCCGACAAGGTAAATCTCGCCTCCTCTTTTCACTGTAATGGAATCCATACTATTAAGGGAAACCCGTCTGCAGCTTTCTGCGCCATCGCTAGTCTGGAGCATTGCTCAACTAATTTGGTCCTGATTGTATTGAACCAGTACGACATAACTCTTTGCGCACGGTGCTTTGTGCGGGGGAATTATCGGGTGGGACTTAGTTCTTCAGATTTCAAGCGGGTTGAGATCAGCGATGAGATGAAAACAGATTGGACGGAGAAAGAGACTCTGCAACTTTTGGAAGCGGTTATGCACTATGGTGATGACTGGAAGAAGGTTGCACAGCATGTTGGTGGTAGAAGTGACAAAGACTGCATCACCCACTTCATTAAGCTTCCCATGGGGGAACAGTTTGCTTCTTCCGCAGAATTTGGATCCAGTATCAACAAGCTAAACCAGATGAAAGATGATAACAATATTAGCTCTTCCTCCTCCCCTAGTAAACGATTGTGCCTTTCGCCTCTTGCAGATGCAAGCAACCCAATAATGGCTCAGGTACATTCTAATTGATCCCTTGCTTTTGCTCGACTCTTTTTTGTCTACCATCCTGTAGGATTTCATGTTTATTATTCAAAAACATTTGGCAGGCTGCTTTTCTATCGGCTTTGGCTGGCACAGGGGTTGCTGAAGCTGCTGCGCAAGCAGCTGTAACTGCAGTGTCTGAGATGGGACAGGGAGAACCCAAGGCTGACATCAGAAGTCTTCATGGGGTTCAAGGATTGCAAGGTAAGGGGATTATGAGGACAATGTCATGAATATCCATAGAATTGTGTAAAAGCAACCTTTTGACAATAGTTGTGTGTCTTGGATTGAACTAATTGTGTCAAAATGCTGTTCGTTTTCTGTGTTACTCAAGGATTGAAAGAAAAAGTAATGATTTTGTATTTGCCTCTATGCAGATGCCAGTATTACATCTAATGGTAGTGGCATACTCAAGTCTGTAGAAGAGGCTCATTCAGGTGTAAATCCAAAGCCAGAGGAGAAGGAGAAGGTAAATGTTGAGGAAGAGATTCGTAGAGTTGCAGAGGTACAGGTAAAAGACTTCCCCCCACCTTGCGAAACTCCTCGAAGTGAAAATGAAATTGTATATGTTTGCTGAGAGTAATCCTTTTGCAGATGAAGCAGATCCAAGAGAAGATCATTCACTTCGAGGAGGTTGATTCACAGATAGAAAAAGAGTGGAAACAGATGGAACAAATGAGAGATATCCTGTTTTATGACCAGTTGAACCTCTTAAAGCACGAAAGAGCAATCCGGAAAAGTGGTCAGCAAGCAGCGGAGGGAGTGAGAACACAGGGTGATTATGTCAGTTAGATGTATGTTTCATAGTATCAGAAAATTCCCTGAGTTTGTTTTAAGTATTTTGATTAGGTAGACGAAGAGTAGATAGTTCACTCCACTGGATGATGTAACAAAATTAAAGGCTATGCTCGCCGCTGTAACTTACTCAGTTCAGTTGTATCAAACATAACACAAATGAGACGTATTTATTGTCAACAGACAGCTCATAGTGCTATGATGATAATCATAGATAGCTGGAAAAGAAAGCAGGGAGCAAGGAGTGAGCTCAAAATTCGTGGCCTTCAGGTGAATCTGAAGGATGAGACCACCTGGGAAATGGTAAACATACCAGGAAAGAATGCAGACGTTAAAAGAAATCAAAGGACCCAAGCCATCAATCTAACAGGAATTCGGGACGAGAGTACTACCTTCTGGATTTTGGATCCGTAAGCCTGTGATTCTTCGTCAACGAACTGGCCTGAGATGGTGTAGAGTCTGTTGTACCAGCCATTGGAGGCCATTCCAAGTGCTGTATACAAATGCTTTCGACTCTCGCCTGGGTTTTGAAGCGTATACTCGATGTAGTACAACCCTACGTCCATTCCTAAACTTTAGAAACAAATAGAGAAATGAAATCCAGGCTGCTTGAATTTACCTACCCTTTGAAGATTTGCAGTCAATCAATTTTGCTGCAACACCAGGAGTCTTCTGCCAGCTTCTGTCCAGTCCACTCACTAATGTCTCGGCGAACTCTTCAACCTTTCCAAAGGACTCGATTCTTGTAAAATCAGCTCCCACCCCTGTGATCACCACGCTGACTGTCCCGACAGATCAATACATTATTCAGCCGCAGCAAAGAAACGCTCAATTTTTATTGGCATCAACATTATGTGAATTTCAGAGTTACCACTTGCAGCAGCAGAAGCTTGTTGTGGATAGAACGCTGTCACGGATTTGAAGCCGCTGGGCTCTCCAGTGCCCACTTCCCAGTCTGGAAAAAAATGCAAAGAGTCAGCAGCATTCGCAAATCGCAGCACGCAATGTGCGAGTCCTTTAGCTTTTGCGGCGATGCAAACGTATTTAAGTAATTGCCGTTCTGTAAGACCATTTTAGTATGTATCGGTCAGAAGAGAGTGAAAGGGTACCCAGTGGAACTGATATCTGAAATTTGTTGACTTCGTCTGTGTAAACCCGGAAGTCTTCTGAAACCGCCAAAAGAACAACAGGCACCCGTTAAAGCTTATAGTTCATTGCAACTGAATTAAGTTGTTGCCTTGTTGAATGTTGGGCCAAGGCAAGCGATTACCATTCTCCGCACGGGAGGATTTGGAAGCTGCAGTGAGAGTGGCAGCAGCTGAAATAAAGCCCAAAACCAAACTTTCTCTTCTACCTCGAGCTCTCAACTCTCCTCCCTCGCACAATCTATGCCCAAAAACTGTAATACCATGAGAAAGAACAGAGGGAACATAAAAAGAGAAAAGGGCAAGCTGCAAATACACACACTGAATGGAAGGAAACGCCGATTACATTGAAGGTTGCTCGCCGGAGCAGAGGACGAGACTTAGCTTTCTCCCTGTGCTACTGCTGACATTGGGGTGGAAAGAAAGGAGGGGAGGAAGTCGAAGAAGATTCGAGCTTGAGCTGAGATTACTGCTAGGCAGTAGATTCAGCACCGATGGAGTGGCAGAGGAAGCGGATAATGATGATATCTTCATGTCCACTCCCTTAATTTTTCCCCATTCCTTTCCCTTTATTTTCCAATCCAAGAAGTAAACAAATATGTTGAATCAGGAAATATCTGTGGTTCAGAGACGTCAGTAGAGAATCAGGGTCTTTCCTTTTAGGACCATTCCTTTTAAACCGATTTCTTTCACAACGGAACTTCATATCATTACACAAGCAGAATTTTTTCCAACACTTTCATCTTATTACATTTGCCAGGAAAAACCACACTAGTTCTGGGCTCTTTTCAGTAGGAAACGCAATGAGAAGAACCCGAGAGCGAAAGTCTGCCAAAACCATCCCTTGGCATTGGCAGGATCTACTTTCTTCGCCAGCTTCCATGCATACATAGCCTCGAACAGATGTGCAGCAATAGCTAACACAGCTACCAGCCTAATCACGAACATGGACCTCATGTACAAGAGACAAATAGCTTTCATCAGGGACACAGGTCCGACATCCGGCAGAAAAGCAGCACACAAGACCATACCCATTCCAATCACACAATACAGCCATGCATATATTGTCGGTCCATCCAACATTTCCCTTTTCTTCTTTTGCCAATACGAAATCGTTGCAGCCATCCCTTCCCGGGGGGTCACCAGAGGGACATACCCGAGTTCTTCCTTGGCCTTCAGGTACGAGAAGTAGTGTGTCACTCCAACCTGTTTTGACATCATAAGAGACGCCCAAAGGTTACATATAACTTAAGTTCTCAGGTAAAGAAAGTATCAATGATTACATGAAACCCAAGTTCTTAAGGTCTGAAGGCTTTTTTCAGCAGACCTTGTAAACTTCAGCAGGAAGGATCAATGGTTGAGGAAGCCACCAATGCTTCAACCATGGGTACAAGATTGTATAGACAGCTGCCAAAACCTTGCCTATAGTAAGAGCCTGAGAGACAGGCAAAGATGCCTTCGGTATGTCATAACCTATACTTTTTAGAAGAGGTTGAAGGAATTCAAAACTGTTGACCGGAGAACCTGCAAGAAAAAGCTGATTATTTGTCACAGCTGGATCAGTTAGTAAAAAAAAAAACGTTAAGAGAAACATGCTTCCTAGACGTTACCATCACATATGAAGTAAGCTTGGCCAGAGGCGACTGGGCGTCCTTTTCTGCCTGGAATGTCATCTAGAAGTCCCATGCTGGCTTGGATAAGTGCAAGGACAAGGTTATCACAGTACACCCAATCTGTTTTCACATTCGGATCACCAATTCTGAAAGGCATGAGACCCAACTTAGCAAGGGACATTATCCTGGGAAGGTGCCTCTCTTCTCCAGGTCCATAGATTGCTGCTGGACGAATAGCACAAGTATATAGCTGCCCACTATTGATCTTCCTGGCAAACCACATATAAAAAACAGATGAATCATTCGCATCACAAGAGTTCCATGCAACTGGATCATTAAAGATTCTGGTACTTACTTGAAGGACCGACCATTATACTTCAGCACTAACTGCTCAGCAATTGACTTGGAGCGGCCATATGTATCAACATGATCATCAAGAGGGAAGTAAGGCAAAGCCTCGTTCCCATTCACTATCTCTTTTCCCCCAAAAACGACATTGTAAGTACTGACATAAACAAGCCTATTCACTCCTTGGTCAAGGCAAGATTCCAAGACATGGCAGGTTCCATTGATGTTAACCTCATCCACACGACCAAACTGAAGCATTTCTTTGCCAGACATGCCGTAGGAAGCTAAATGGAAGACACAATCTGCACCACGAAGGGCCTTCCCCACATCCTTCTGATTGGTAATGTCTCCTGTGCAATCACAGAAATGAAGTTGAAGGAAAGCATTATGGATAAAGTAAAGTCTAGCTACAGGAGTTGACTTGTTTCAATCTGCATCCTCAAATCAATCAAAATTCGCTTCCTTCAAACCAAAATGAGCTTTGGACTCAGGCCAACACAGTATGATAGGCAATCCACCAGGTATAATGATGACATTCATTAGAGAATTGACCAGATTGAATGAGACAGCAAATGAAAGAGGCGATCTTTCACAACATAGGGAAAATGGGTTGTGGGAATTTACCTTGGATGCATTTGACACCTCTGGAGCTGAGAGAATCAGACCAGGGAGAATTGGTTCGGAGATCAAAGGCGCGAACTTGGCGAGCTCCTCTACGAACCAGGTCGAGACAGAGGGCGGAACCCACGAAGCCCAAACCGCCGGTGACTACGAACACTTTGCCTTCTACCCCTTCATTCTCGCTCAAGTGCATCTTCTTAGATTCTTCGATTGATCGCTTAAGCTAATTTATCTACCAGCTTATTTCGGAATTGAATCCCAGCACCGACGACTGGAGTTCTCGAATAAGAACGTCTAGTCGTCTATCCTTCACTTTCTCCGTGTGTAAACGGCTGGATTAAAAATAAATAAATAATCAAAAAATTGTCGTTACACTGGGCCGAGCAGCTGGGCCTCGGCCCACAGGCCGCATTTTACTTGGGCTCGACCGCGTATTACTTTTCTTAGTATGCCGCCGGTCTCCCTCTGTTCCCCTCTCTCAAGACTTCAGCATCTCGCCGCCGGTTGCAAGCTCCCGACTTTGGCTTCTTCAACAATCTCCGGTCAACAACTCTCTCTCTAGTGTTGTTGCGATCTGTGAGAATCGGCTGTTTGAGTAATCGTTGACTACTATTTTTGTAAGTAGAATTTTCCTACTGCTTAGCAATTGAAATGGTGACACTTTGTAGATGGATGCGCTCAAACATCCCGGCGCCCCGGAGTTCAAGCCGACGGTGGCTATAACAGGAACCGCCTCTGAAGGCAGAGCAGGCCCGCAACTGGGTTCCGTCGACATAGGAGTCAGCCACGAAGCTTACCTCTTCCGGGTAACACTTCCTGGCGTCCGCAAAAATCACGGTCAGTTATTTTTCCCCCATTTCCCCAGCTACTCGAATCAGTACTGCTTTACTCGTTCGTTCCCATAGGGTCACTGGAAGATTGAAGAACGAGAGGATAAATTAGGCTGCGATCTAATCAATTTTGTTGACTGCCTCCTGCTCAATCTGTATATAATTAGGCTGTGACCTAAAAATAATGAACTCCAGATCAATCTGTTAGAAACGCGCTGAATAAACAAAAAAAAAAATCGCCATTTTTGGTGTAGGGGATGTGAAATGCAGGATCCAGCGAGATGGATCTGTGCAAATACAAGGGGTACGGCCGCCCACTTCAGATTTTCTGGGTAGCTTCCCTGGAGAATTCATGCTGAAGGTTGAAGAACTCTGCCCCAGCGGGACCGTTCGGATTGGGTTTAAGTTGCCTGGACCGGTTGAACCAAGGCTCTTTGTTCCTACTTACCGGGACGGGATACTCGAAGGTGTGGTGATGAAATGCAGGATGCCAAGTGCTGCTTCTCCTCTAGATGGCTCATCAAAACCAAGTGATGCTTCTCCTCTAGCTGGTTCATCGCAACCCGATTTCAAGCTTTGAGGATATGGCCAAGACCTCGATGGATCTCGCGACATTTGTTCTGACCAACAAGCATCCAACCCATTAAGTTAAAGGGTAATGCATATGATATGGTATGATATGAACAATGTACCCTACTTCCCTTGATGTCTTCGACTAATTACTCCATTCTATTCTTACAAATGAGCCGGTGACTAGTTGTGACAAGAATGCAGTGTGTTCATTTTCAGGATGAGATATTGGTTAACCTGTTTAAACATTCCTTTAGCCTTTGTGGATCATAAGGCGTCTCGATAGCCTTGTTGAGTTTGAATTTATATTTGCAAATTAGGATATGTGAAACCAGGCAATGCTGATGCAGCTGACTGTGTGGTGAATGCTTGATTAGCTGATATCGCTGAAACTCAGCACTGTGATTCATTTCCAATCATATCAGATGATAGCACACAGCACAGGCCCTTTGATGAGATGCTGTGGAAAAGTCTGCTAATGTCGATATTCTATTGATGAGATAGCTTTCTAGAATGTGAGGTGTGTGTTGGACTGAAGGAGGAATGTGCGAGATATGGGCGGTCCAAGGTTTGTAATTTCGTTCCAGTTATGAACTGCAGGGTGGAAGGAAATGGAGGAAGGTTTGAAAAGTCTTTGGAAAAGGACATTTCTCAGTAAGCTTGCTGAGATTTGAGGGGTAGGATTGCGAGCGAGGAGGGTCATCTCATCCCTGACCCGCCATTGTCCGCAAAACATAAATGGCGGTGACCGGAGGAGCTTTGGTTTTCCTTGGTTGATATTCGTTTTTATCTGCTAGAGGAGAATCTAATTTTTCCATGAAACCAAGGGATTTCTTTTCATTGTCTCCTCTCCGGCTTGTCTGATCCAAATTCCAATGGGTCCCATCGTCGGCGCCATGCTTTGGTAAATTTTGGATGGTGGAGAACGGTTAAATTTGAACCCATGACCTCCAAAATTTAAGCCTACGCCTTTACCATCTCCACCATCCTTTGGTAATTTTATACTCTTATGTTCGGGTTGCAAAGAGATGCATATTCTTCTGCAATTATATCGATGGCCACATCTGTCTTCTACAATAAAATCATCCATATATGATATATCTGTATTTGATCAATAGCAAATCCTACCTGGAATTCAATATGCAATTGTAAATGATTGCACCAACCAATGTAGTAGGCACTTACAAAGATGTAATCTTGTATTTGATGAAATTCAAGATGCATGTCACATATATAGGAGGTGACTACTTCGGTGCACTCACAAATATGAATGCGTTCAATGCATCCAACTCAAAAACTAGTCTTAAGGTGTCGGATTTTGAATTTTAATTTGTAGAATTAGTGTAATATGCTGATATAACATATGATAACAACTAATTAGCGGATTACTCCTAAGCCCTAGACCTCCAATTTTGATTTCTATCCCTAAACCCCAAATTGTAAACCCTAACCCTAACCCTAACCTCTAAACTCTAAATCCTTCAAAATAAAGTAAATCTTCAATGATTTTTGTGCAAATACATGTGTGTTATTGTTCATCACATCATAAGTGATGATTGACATCATTTTGACATAAATCGCATGTTTAAAATGACGGTTATGAAGCGAGTGCACTGAATGCACCCAAAAAAGTGGGTACATCGAAGACGCCACCTATATAGGAAAATAAAATAAAAATTTATTATTTTTCTCTTCATTTATCTGTTTGTTTATTATAAAATCACTTGGATACATCACATTGCAAGTGAAATGATTTGATGTATAAACAATGAAATTAAGATGAGTTAGATTGCACAAATTATGATGTGGCAATAGGAACATCAATTAATTTTACAATTGCAGTGATATGGATGCTCTGAAAACACATTCATATGATATGGCTCCAAATTGTACAAGTCAACTCAACACTAAACAACTTAAATAATCGCTAGCTAGCTAGCTATCAAGGTTATATGTGGAGAATGGAAAATTCAAAACTGTATAAACTCCCCTAACTTGCAATATTCCAACCGGACTTCTTTGTAGAAATAAGAAAAATGGAAAATTCAAAGGAATGGAGATGACAAGATGGCAAGTCTTGCTAATTAGCATTTGCCCGTAAACTACTCATTCTCTTCTTAATTGTAGGGTTGAAACTTTGACCCTAAAAATCCATCGATCAACTCCGCTCCGACCCGAACTGACGGTTGAGTCGGGTCAATCTGTCTATAGAGTCAAATGTGTGTCGTGTCATCTCCTTGACCATATAAGTAGGGGTAGACATATGGGTGGTTAATTCGCAAGTTGCCATCAATCCACCAATAAATAACCCAAATTGTAGGTAGTGGGTAGTTGATTTCAATCCACTACCCGCACTTATGTGGGTGGATGGATTGTGGATTCACATGAATGACTTGCACCATATTTTCACATGACAAATTGTTGTTCCTTATACTATTGAATATTAATTATATTTCCTAACTGCACTACATAGTGACCATTTACTTCTAAAGGTGGAGAGTAAAGAATATGATTGGACTACTATTACTGGTTATTGTGTTGTGTAATAATCATTAGATATTGGGATGTAATAATATCAAAGTGGCAAACGTGTAATAATCATTAGATATTGGGATGTAATGATATCAAAGTGGCAAAACGCGTCAGTTTTCTCTATTGATGAAGTAATAAAAATCTTGATGCAAATATTACTTAGATTCACATGAAATCATGTGTGAGTTTTAAAATTGATACAACCTTACTAATTTGTAAGTAACTGATTATAAATAATGGTAGACAACTTTCTTAATGGTTAGTTGGAAAATTGTATTATGGGTTAACCCACAACCCAACCGCACTCATCCACCACTTAAACAACCCAACATGTAGAAGAATGTGGGTGGATAGTAGATCACAAATATACTAATTCGCTAATAATCGGGTGAGTCAATTTGAGATCAGAACCCACCCAACCTGCCCATTGCCATACCCTACCTATAACTATCGGGTCAAATTACACTATGACCCTATGATCCGAACAGGTCAGGGACGGGTCAAGCACGAGGCAGACAAATTTTCAACCCTAATTATAAGATCCACATGAAAATTAGTACGGCACAAATAAAAAGTCACTACTGAATCTTAATCTCCTCACTTGCATTTTTGTTCATTTGCCTTGGGCCTTGCATTTTTGCCTACTTTCCTACCAAATTACAGAAATTCGTCTCTCATGCTTGTGTATTTCCTAGTTAGCACACATTATTTGTGCTAATGAGCCCCATAAATCTATATGTTCATTTACTCTATTGCATTATCCATTGCTGAAACGACAATTCCAGTATAGAGCTATTGTAAGTATATTCTTTCCATCCATTCATTTATCCATCCAGCAAGAGGTGAAAATTTCTATGCTAGCCCGCTCGATCTGTCCAATTGTAGTTGTCCATTTACGTACATGTTAAATCCTTTTAAATTTTAACCAATCCCATTTCTCCTTTCTCCTAATTCCTTGTTTGTGTTTTGTATTGTTTTTACAGTCCACACAGCTATATCTATGTATATAAAAATACTAGAGCCAATTAGATCAGCTGTGGATCTCCACATGGCAATTTATTAATTTTTAGTTAATTTCTCTAATGACGATTCTACTTACTTAATCTTCAACTTCCCGTGCCCGGCCTCCTAATTAATATTATTTATTGTTTGGGCCGGGAACGAGAGGGATATTCCGAATCTTGATAGGAATCATTGGACTGAACAAACCTACGAATCCAACTAACTAGCTAAGCTTCTCCGAAATTTCCTCATTATCATATGTAGGAATCCTTTTCGGCTATTAAATATCCTGCTTCAGGTTGCATCAGATTATTGTACATACTACCTATGCCTGTATATAGTCAACTCAAACCAAACATAAATTTTATTATTATTTAAGCACAACATATACGGAATCTAGCGAGGAATTTTACAATGCTATATAATATTGGTTCTATAGGATTTTGCTTTTATGGTACAACTTGAAATTGTACATTTAACGTTATGGTACAACTTTAGATTATACATATACTTTTTGTACGGGGCTTGCTATTTGCCGCCAAACAAATTGCTATTTGCCGCCAACTAAACAAAAAAAAAGTATATATGTACATCCTTGGTTAAGAAGTTTCACAATCTACAACATATTCAATTTTCAGAAAACGTATTGAATCAGAAAAAATCGACGCTCGCCGGCAAAGTCGTCGGAAAACCATCGGAAAAGCCCATCCTCGACGTAAACTGCGAACACGCATCCATGAATAATCACTAAGCAGGTGCGTCAATTTTTTTGTAGTTTCGAACAATTTTTCCGACGATTTGCAACGAACAGAGGGTGGGCCGAAAATTTCCGGCGGCAGGAACCTGGCCGGGCCGACGGAAAACGGTGGCCGGAGCCAGGCGGAGCCGAAAAATAATCTCGGCCTGGCCAGGTTCCGGCCACCGTTTTCCTTCGGCCCGGCCAGGTTCCGGCCGCCGGAAATTTTTTGCACACCCTGTTCGTTGCAAATCGTCGGAAAAATTCGATTTTAGGAGTTTAATTTAGCGTTTAGGAGTTGAATTTAGAGTTTAGGAGTTGAATTTAGCGGTTAAGAGTTGAAATTAGCGTTTAGGTTCACAAGAATATTGATGTGTTATATTGTAATTGTAGGAAAAATGTCAGAGTGGTTACCGGCCGATCATGATTACACAGCAGAATTTGAGAATGGGATCCATTATGCAAGTGTGAAGTTAGCTGAGTTAGCTGCAAGAGCAATCGCTCAGGAGAACAGGTTCTTTATTGTTAGAGGAGCATGGGAACCGAATACTGCTGGACTACATCCTGTTACTGCCCTCTGTATGTATTGCGACAGAAGCAGTAGGATCGTTAAGTCTTATAAACCAGACCCTACGAAGGAGACGCGTGGGAATATTAGTTCGAAGGGTACTGGTTGCCAGTTTCAGATATGTATTAAGGAAGTATGGCAAAAGGATGGTCCAAACACATGGGTCCTAATGGGAGTGACAAGTCGTGAAACCGGAGCTAATAGAGGGTTTCACAACCATGAAAAGGTGTTGTATCCAGAACATCACCGACACAACAAACAGTTTAGTGAGGCTGAAAAATAGAGGTTAAGATTAATGAGGAAGGCGGGGGTGAGACCACCTCCGGATGGTCAAGCTGCGCAGAAGTCCTACTCATCAGTCGTCCCTCAACAGGAAGGCGGGGGAGTAGATCAGGTGCTGGAGACCTGACTGCTGAACCAGATCCTCCGCCTCAACATGACTAAACACGTAGCTCCCAAGATAATCAACCGCCCCTCCACGGGTGTAGCAACTGATGA